GGAATTGGTGAGTCTGGATCACAACAAGAAAACCAGAAGCTCCAGACATACCATGTTGAAGTAACTCTGATAGATGCCTCGATATTCGATCTTGACCACATCACTGGTCAGGATGCCGGACAAGGCAATGACACCGCCGGCACCCAATCCACAGGCGGCACGGGCAGCAATAAAACTGCCTATGTCAGCCGCCGCGCCGCACCATACCGTGCTCGCGAAGAACAATACGATGGCGACCAAGTACACCGGGCGCCGGCCAATGGTGTCAGACAAGCGGCCGTAGAGTGGCTGAAAGACGGTGGATGTCAAGTAAAAGACAGTGCTGACCCACGACGCTGCGTTGGAGGCATGGAAGTAGGACGTGATGACGGGATGGGCCGACGCCATCAAGGTGCTGTCGAAGAAGGCAATGGTCGAGCCAAACGTGATGCTGCCGAAGAGGAAGAAGAAGCGGGGGCCCGAAATGTTGCGGTAGTGGACGTTGGCCGGTTTCTCGCTGGCACCATTGCTGGAATCATGGGGCCTGGCCAGAAGACCTGTGGTTTCGGTGGGTGGATGAGCATGGTGTTCTTCGAGGCCCGGCTCACCGAGGGAGTTCAGGCCTTGTGTTGCGGCCGGGTCGATCACTGGCAGTGGTCGTTTGTCCTTGGTCTGGCTTGGCATGACGCCGTTAGAGCCATGTGAAAAGGTGAAGACGCTCGGCTGAGGCTGGGAGTCACAGAGCAACACGATTGATGTGGGGGAGACAGGCTGGTATATGGTATAGTGAATAGTTGACCACGATGGTGATGGTGATGGCGATGGAGCGGCCGAGCTATCTTCGAGCTGGCGGCTCTGGTCCTGATCTAGATGACAGAATCCCACGAGCTGTCAGTCGAGAGAAGAGACGTGCAGGAGCAGAGCTTGCTGGGAGCCCAAGCTGCAATAATGGCGGTCAAGACGTGGAAGAAATTCATAGTTGGATGCAAGTCTGTGGACGTTGAAGATCACGTAATCCAGCAGCACCAATCAGCGCATGCCCCTCATGTAGTCGCAAAGGCGTAATTCTAGCGCAGGGCGACGACAGCTCGACCACAACTGCAATCAGCCACGACGCTCGTTTCCCCGCGCCGTCATCGCCATCGCCATCCCTAGAATCGCAACAGCCACAGCCACAGCGCTTGCCCGAGCCTCAGCCCAAAATGAACCTCAAAGTCGCCCGTCCGCTCCGCATCGCCATCCTCGAATGTGACACGCCGCTGCCCCAGACCAAGAAGAAGTTCCAAGGCTACGGCGGCGTGTTTGAATTCCTCCTCCGCGCTGGAGCCAGGGCCTTGAACAGTCCCGATCTCGATCCCGACACGGGCTTCGAGTTGACGCGATGGCAGGTCGAACTTGAGCCGGAAAAGTATCCGGATCCCGCTACGGTCGATGCCATCTTGATCACAGGTTCTAGTGAGTCATCCCTGTCGCTTTCTCCCCTTATCAGTAGTAGCAGAGAGGAAGATAAGGTCAGTGTTGGATAGAAGTCGCGGACACGAGTGTAGAGTGTGACGGGGTTGAATTGCTTCCCGCTCGAGCATGGATGATGGATGAAGGAAAGGCCAGATTGGTTACCTACTCTCAAGCAAGACGTGGATCGCTAACCGGCGTGGTGTTTCTGCTGCTGTCCAGAACATGACTCGTTCGCCGATACGCCGTGGATCAACAAGCTCGTCGACTACACCACCAAAATCCTCACCGAGACCAACGTGCGCGTCATCGGTGTCTGCTTTGGCCACCAGATTGTCGGCCGGGCCTTGAAGGTCGGGGTCGGACGCAATCCGCAGGGATGGGAGGCGGCGGTGAACCAAATCCAGCTGTCGGCCAAAGGCAAGGAGATTTTCGGGGTTGACACGCTGGTAAGTTTGTGCCTGTCCCTGTCTGTCCAAGTACCTGCGCCTGCGATCAAGACGCCAGCAATGGTCCAAGCCGGGTGACTGCCAATGGAATGATCCAAGCCGGGTGACTGTCGATGGAATGATCCAAGCTGGGTGACTGTCAATGGAATGATCCAAGCTGGGTAACTGTCAATGGACACAACACCCAGAGACAGATTCCGGCTGAGCATAGATAATATTCTGGAGTGCTCACTGACACGCTTCCAGCGACTACACCAGATGCACCGCGACTGTGTCTTCACCTACCCGGAAGGTGTCGAGGCGCTGGGCTCGTCTCCCGTGTGCAAAGTGCAGGGCATGTACGTGGCCAAACGACTGTTCACGGTCCAAGGGCACCCGGAATTCAACCAGGAGATCATGACCGAAATCGTCAACACGAGGCACGCCACGGGAGTTTTCGACGACAAGGCCTTCCAAGAGCACTCGGGCAAAGTGGCCTTGCCGCACGACGGCTTGGTTGTCAGCCAGGCGTTTTTGAAGTTCTTGCTGGAACAATAGGATGGAAGGGAGGGTAGACGGGCGGTGTTCGTCTTCTGTCTTGGAGGGGGAGGGGGAAGGCCGGTGTTCGTCCTGGGTCTTGGAGGGGCTGGGTGTTTCACGCCGGATAGATATAGAGATATGAATAGAGATAGATATAGAGATAGACATAGACATAGACATAGACATAGAGAGGGTTGGATATCATTGATCATTTCGCATCTGATTGCTTATACTACACACTAGTTAGTATGAGCGCGAGTTCGCGACAGCATTTGCATAGTGCCATCATCAGCCCTCAGCCATCAGCCACCAGCTGGGCCCCTCGTAGCCTTGGGCCGGGGTTTCAGTTTTGGACCACAGCAATCCCATCTGTTCGCGTTTCAGTTTTAGACCACAGCAATCACAACTGTTCGCGATTCTGGGATCTCGGGCCATATTTCATTCATGACACCATTCGATCAGCGTCGGCCGCGCCAGCAGGGATCCTTCCTTCAGCCAGATCCTTTTCAATGCGGGTGATTTCAGCCAAGCTCTTTGCGCTCTTGATCAGTTCCTGCACCCTCTTCTTCTCCGATTCCGTCAACTGGGTCCGCACGCCTTTTCTGGCCCCCTCCGCCTTGCCGTTGACCCCCGTTCCGGCCACGTCGAACGTTCGACTCTTGACGCCCTTGATCCTGGCCGCCAGGTCGGTCGGCGCGTCTGCCGTGCCGAACAGGTCTCTGGCCTGCTCACGTTCGGCGTCTCGGACCTTCTGGAAATCGAGAAACCTCAAAGACGGGATTGTCCAGATCAGATAGAGTCGGTAGTGCTGCAACATAAGTTAGCTGACCAAGTCCCGCGCACGTTATCAATCCCAGATTAAGATCCAGTCTCCCAAGCAAGTATAACACATGTCCGAGAAAGTATATCATATTGTCCGCGTGCAATCTCACCTCTTTTCTCGTCACCGGGTTCTCCAGCAAACTCAAATGCGTCAGTCTTGCACACCCACTCAGGCCTTCCAGGTCGGCGAGCTCCTTGACGTGATTCGCCGTCAAGACCAGGCTGATCAGATTCGGGATCTGTTCGGCGATTCTCTTGTCGACGCCTTGGATGCGGTTCCGTGCACATAAGAGCGTGTTCAGCCGCGGGGACAGCGGGAAATTCGTGAGTGTGGCGATGTCGTTGTCGGTGAAGTCGATGGCATCGTGCGGGCCGGCGGCGCCCAGGTTCTCAATCGTGGGGATTTTGTGGCCTACATGGCGAAGAATAGAAAGGGGTGTGGTCAACTATGCTCTGCTCGGGCCATTCTGAATACTCGAAACAAGAAGGTACAGGTTCAAAGTGTAGCATCGGCTCTTTTCAGACTTACCTCGCAGGTCGAGCTCGCGCTCTTTCAGGGGGTTGAGGTACGACAGGGAATTGTGGATGAGGTCGGCCGTCAGCCTCATTGTTGCGGTGGTGAGGTCGTGCCTTGTTGGTCCTCAGCACGCCAGGGCCAGAGAGGATGGGGGTGGCATTTGTTCCACGACGGTACTTGAAGGCTGCGCGTTTTGAGATTTTGCGCAGGCCATTTGATTGGTCGCCGTCGGATTGGGGGGCTTACGGCGCAGTAGGGAGACTGTAGACGAAGCTGTTTGGGAGGCTTACGGCGCAGCGGAGAGACCGCAGACGAAGTTGTCGTTGACTGTGACTGTTGAGCGAATGAACGAATACAAAGCTCGTGAGGATTTCCGAAAAGGTCAGGTACAGTCAATACCTGGAACTTCTGGCTTCGGCTATATTATCTCCTGTCTAGGCCCTATTATTATCAGCAATGGGGTGCAATTAACTTAGAATTCAATATCTGCTGTATCTGTCACGTGGTCGTAGTCGGACGGGGCTACAGATTCGAGGAAGGGTTCGCTTCGGTGTATAGTGTACTTTTGGAAATGTACGAGCAGAGTCGCATGAACGTAGGAGTATTCGTGTCACCGTGTACTCCGTAAGGTACCTAACATCATGGTACTCTACCTAAGGTAGGTAGGTACCACTGTTCGCCTGATATCAGACTAGGGAACCCTCATGCACGTGACTCGGTGGGGTCTCGCCTGCCAAGGCCGACACGCCCCGAGGTCCCGTCTTGGCGCCGTTACCGCATTTCGCAATTGAATCCGGGCACTGCAAGTGAAGGGCAACTGAAGGCCGCACTTGAAGGGCGCAACTGAAGTCCATTCAAGTACCCAAGTACCCAAAGTACCTCAACTGCTGGCTACCTACCTATGCCAAACCGAGTCTGAGTCTCGTTTATTTGCCGTAAGGTAGGCATGTCCCGGGAACTCTGCCAGCGAGGAGTCGAGATGCAGCGCTAAACCGAAGCAGCGAGATAGATGCTATACTATGTCCCCCGTACTGTCTGTCCTCTATCGAATTATTAATAGCTGGCGACATACCTTATGTTTAAACGTACCTAGGGATCACAGAGTACTCTGTACCTAGGGAAGATTCCCCAGGCGTACGTACCAGGAGTCTCCTCACCCGGTGCCTTATCTTCCCACCCACATTGATAGGTACTCCGTACTCCTTACATGTAGCCATCAATCAGTTCAAGCCTCATCCGACTCCGCTGCCAAGGACGTCAAGCGAGGCGAGCGCAAACGTTCACGAGGCCAAACTCCACAGGAACTGATAACAGCCTTGGCCGAATCTGAGTCTTGTCTCTGACCAATGGCGTGTCTTCCGCTCCAGCCTTGGGTATGCTGCAGAAATCCGAATTGTCAATCGCATCTCGACAATCAGCACTAACCGTGTCGACTAGTAATTTCTAACACAAAGGGACTACTGCACACAGCATAGTTTCTATCTATCTCTCCCGAAAGGTGGACTTCGCCGGTCTGATCAGAATCTGGCTCGAGTTCTCGCCCAGTAGTCGGTGCACTGCAGTGGTCGCCATCCAATGAGTCGTCCCATGGCGCCCTGTCACGGCACGCCCCGTATTCTCATGGCCCAAGAAGGGGGCCTGGAGGGGAATGATACATAGTATATACTATATGTACCTCCCCAGATTGTCACCCTCCTTGCCACGATTCCTCTCTTGCGTTTTCCTTGCCAGACAGTTAATAGTCGTAGGAGACTGACCCCTTTTCAGCGGCCCCTCAAGCAGACATGGATCCTGTATGTCGAGCCAGTTCCCTTGCTGTTGTCGTCTCCTTCCCACTAACTGCTTCATCTAGCCCGAATTCGACCCTTCGGCGGCCAACGGCGGCAACACCCATGAGGTTGACGTCAACGCACAATTCGCCGGCTTCGAGTACCATGCCGTATACATCGGCATCTGCGCCTATCTCGTCTGGATGATTATTCCCGGTCTTGGTCTGTTGTACGGAGGACTGGCCCGCAGGAAGTCCGCCCTGGCTATGCTGTACCAGTCCTTTGGAGTGGTAGGTCGTGCCCTGTTCATGCCGTCACAATTTCGGATGCTGATCCCGCGCTCACTCGCAGATTGGAGTCATCTGCTTCCAATGGATGTTCTGGGGCTATTCCCTGGCCTACTCCCGTACCGCTGGCCCCTTCATTGGAGACCTGGCCAACTTCGGCATGAAGAATGTCACGGCGGCGCCATCCCCCGGGAGCCCGTATTTGCCGGAAATCGTCTTCTGTCTCTACCAGTTGCTGTTTTGCATCTGCACGGTAATGATCGTGGTCGGTGGGGCTTTTGAGCGTGGTCGGATCATCCCATCTCTATTTTTCGGCTTCTGGTGGGCGACTATTGTGTAAGTTCGCCCGTGCAATCCTTCTGAGATCGAGTCACTAATCGCGTCACGCCAGGTACTGTCCGATTGCATGCTGGACCTGGAACGGCAATGGCTGGCTGTACAACCTCCCATCCCTTGATTACGCGGGAGGCGGGCCAGTCCACGTCGCCAGCGGATGCTCGGCGCTCGCGTACGCCCTGGTCCTGGGAAAGAGAAAGCTTCACGGCCAGAGGTCTGCAATGAGACCGCACAACCTTTCCATGGTTTTCATTGGCACCTCCCTTATCTGGTTCGGCTGGTATGGCTTTAACGTAGGTGGCCGCCAATCCTCCATGTGACACGCGGTGGCTGACAAGGCGCAGGGTGGCAGCACTTTGAATGCGACTGTTCGCGCCTTCTTCGCAGCCTGGAACACAAACGTGTCCGCGGGGATGGGCGTCATTGGATGGTCCGTAGTTGATATGATCCGGAACAAGGGAAAGCTTTCCCTGGTGGGTGCCTGTGAAGGTGCAATTGCTGGCCTTGTCGGTATGTGTGGCCCCGAGGAGTAGAGCGCAGGGTCCTTGAAAACTGACGTCGACTAGGTATCACCCCAGCCGCCGGTTACGTGTCGGTCTGGCTTGCTGCTGCGATTGGCCTCATCACCGCCATGGTCTGCGCTGCTCTTCAAGATGTCAACGACTGGCTTCACATAGATGAGGGCATGGATGTCTTCAAGCTTCACGGCATTGGCGGAATTGTCGGCTCCTTCCTCACGGGTATCTTCGCATCGTCATCGGTGTCACTGCTCGACGGCTCCACTGACGCGCCGGGCGGTGTCGACGGGGTCGGTGCCCAGGTTGCCAGACAGCTGGCCGACATCGCCGCTATCTCCAGCTACTCCTTCACCGTCTCACTCTGCCTTCTTCTCATAATGAAGGTCATCGGCAAGTATATCCCATTCATGGCCCTTCGCGTGAGCGAGGAAGCCGAGATCCGTGGCATAGACGAGGATCAATTCTTCGACGAGGAGGTTGGCGACTGGTCCTTGTTTGAGCATAGCGGCATGACCCACGAAACGAAGCTGGTCTCGACCCCTTCCACTCCTCCGAACGAAACCGAAAAGAAGACGGCGTCGGTGGAGCCAGAACCAGTGACCGCTTGAGGAGAATTTCACAACTGAGTAGCTACCACTGGCCAGCGGGGTGCGTGCTAGACTCAAACATAACTCACCAAGATCCATCTCTAAGCGTCATGCCGAGCATTGGATAGCTGGTAGGTACCTCTAATAGTAGTATTGATGCATTCATATACAATCTGCGGGTCGTAATTCATAATCTGGACCGTCGTCTCCCGTCTTTAACTGCCACCTGCGCCGCTTCGACCAAGGACACTTCAGTATTCTCGAACATCTCTTTGTTCAGTCTGGCGGTTAGCGATAGCACCCGAATCGAAACTGCTGCACCGTCCCTTCGGTTCTTGCCCTCTCTTCGGTGCAATGCAATCGCCTCGATGAAGTCCCACAGGCGCCCAGATACTCTCAACTCCCCTGTGGTCGGATCTCGTTCCGGCATCCAGTCAGGAGCGAGCCGGACCATACTCGGGCTTTTCGAATCTTTGCCTTTGGCCACAAGGATAATGCCTTCTTCTTGGAACCGGCTGTAGGCGTTCTTGAGGGACTCTTTGTTGATGGCCTCGTAATACGAGAGGTCGCCTTGATGGTATAGGGTCCGTCCGACAAGTTGAGCGGTACTCTGAGCCTTTGGCATGTCGATCCAAGCAGTTGACGAATCCGCCGGTGGCACCAACACCAGCAAAGATACAGCACCAAGCCAGGCGCCATCCACGAAAGGCCAGATCAAAAAGCAATAGAAATCGAAATTCTCTCGTCCGAGTTTTCGCTCGGCGTCCGACAAGCCAATCCATCGTTCACCGCTGTCCTCTGTTGCCTGGAGCACATTGTCGTGCAGTAAGCCTTGCAAGGCATTCTCGAGGTTGTGCCTTAGACCCTGTCCTGCTGGGAAAATGAACTCTCCACGGAATAGCTGGGATAAAAACGTGACCTTTTGAGTCAACTCGGTGTCTGCCACCCGTTGATTCGCGCTGCCGCCACCCTGTTTGACCTTGGTGTACAAGGCCGCAGCGATGAGAGCCTCGGAGATAAACAGGTGGATGGTCATGTTTCGGTAGAATGATAGTTGGAAACGATCCACGGCGTAGTACGTGTCTTCAGCTAGACCCTCCACTGTACCGACCAGCTTCGGGCCCAGAACCTCGAGAGCTCGTTCGACCACATACGAAGTTGGCATTCCGTGGAAATCTGCCACTTTGCCTCCGTTGGCCCGAGTCCTTGCGCACAGCCAATCGACCCGGCGTATCAGCTCTGATTTGCCCACACCACGGCCCCGGAGAGTGAGGAGAACTGTGCCGACCAAGGCAGTCGGCATGATAACAGAGGCCGCATTGATGTCGGAAAGAACCTTGTATCCCAGAGTGCGCAATAACCGGACCCTGGTTGCAGGGTCGGTCGATTCGGCCGAAGTTGGCACTGGCGAATCTTCGCGTCGTTGCTGTTCCTCAATGAATTCTTTCAGGCTCCATGGCTCGTGAAACCTGCAGTCGATTCTACCCAGGTTAAGGGACAAGACCTTGGACGAGGAAAGGAAGGCACCTAGGTTTTCCTTTTCTTTGGGCTTCCCCAACAACTCGCTCACATATGAATCAACTTCAATGACCTTGTCGTACTGCAACGACACTGGACATATGTAAGCATCCTCTGTCCGGCCTGAGAGGACGGAATCGAGTAGAAAGCTCAAAATCCCAAAGCGAGGTTGCAACAATTTCCCCGTCCGGCTCCTGGTCCCTTCGATGAAGCATTCTAGGTTGTAACCTTTCTGGAGAAGCGTATCCAGGTAGGCCTGGACAAGAGTCGTGTACAGCTGATCGTTGTCGAAACTACGCCTGATCCACATTGCCCCCACGCTTTGCAGGAAGCTGCCGACAAGAGGAAAGTTCAGGTTGTCGCCAGCCACGACGACAGGCAAGGTCAGGCCAAGGCGATAGCACACCAAGTGCAGGGTGACATAATCGATATGGCTGGTGTGTCGCGGTAGGAATATGATGGATTGGTTCCTCGCTGCAGCTTGAGCCGCAACCTCTCGCAACCTCTTCACCTCGGCTTCGGAGACATGAATCGCGCTGTAAGCTCTAGTGAGCAGCTGGGTGACCACGTAGAAGGCGGTTCGGAGGTAGGGTTTGCTCTCCATCTTGCACATCGTGTTGTCGACCATGTCTCCAGTGATCTCGATCAACTGCGACGTGATCTCATGCCTGCGCTTCTCCCTCTCTTTCAAGTACGTCGAAGTATCCCTACCAAGAAGATATTCCTCCTCTTCCACTTTCAAGCGGGCCTCGGTCAGCTCGATGATCTTTCGTCGCAGGATCGGAGAAGCCATGACTGCAGACTTGACGTTGGCGGTGTAGCCCGGGTAGAAGGCTGGTTGTCCGATGACATGATTGTATCCTCGCCATCCGACACCGCGTACGAAGAGCGAGATCTCGTGGGCAAAGTTGAACGGATTCTTGCGGAAACGGGCCATCCGCGACAGGATACTGTGGTCTTCGAGCTCATCCTTGGTGGGGAGTTTGCCCTCCGGCCGAACCAGGTCTGTCATGGTGCTGGTGAAGAGTGCAGGCAGGCTTACACCCAAGGATGCTAGCTAGAGAGTGCCAAAACCAAAGACATGTCCATGTCCCGGCTGGAACAAATTAGAAGGGATGTAAACGCGTCTTCAGGGCTCCTGAGGCTGGGAATCGCAGCTAGAATATCAAACCACCGAGGCAGGTACAAGGCAATACGCAATCTGGGGTACTGCGGAGTCCGAGACTCCCCCGCGACAAGCCTCCTAAGCCTCAAGCAGCGATCTACTGTGCGCCATCTCTTGACCTCTCCAGTGCCCATACTGTACCTACATCTCTTCAATATTGTGTCCCTGTGGACGAGGCAATTGCCTCGAATGGCATCCAGGTTTCCTGTCGATGAGGCCGACACAAACGGAAATACAGTCACTACAGCACTCATAGCGGTGGCTGCGCAAATTGCCCTTACTGAGCCAGGGCTAGGATTTCTGACCTCTTCGAACCCGAGCATCCCATATCTCTGCGGCACCGCGCCGAAAGCTTCCTCATGCTCTTGCAGCAGAAATATAGACATAACAAAAGAATAGGGCGGTCTGTACCATTTAGGAAAACACTCTCCTCTATCCCTTGGCTGCTCGATGAAACCATATGCTTTTCCTGTTCCTGATCCCACCACTCCTCTCATGGGAACCTATTTCAGTGACAAAAGATTGGTCCTCCAAACACCTCTACCGTCAAATGACGACACGCGTACACTAGCTATGCTGGTACCTTTTGGCAGCATAGAGTCATCTACTGCTGAGCCAGGCCGTCAAAAAACTTGCTCAAACCCCAGGCTCCCGGATCTGGAATCTTGCCGAACCAGGATTCGTCATTGCCAATGTAGACGGTTCTTCCCAGCCCGGGACGCATGGACGCTGTCTTTGCAGCGCCATCTTTGGCCGCCTGCGAGGCTTGTTGCAGATTGCCTGTCGATTGTAACGCATGGGCGAAAGGCAGCAGTGCATCCACCAAGGTCCTATCGCCGACCTGGGCCGGCGTGTACTTGGCCAACGCAGAGAGAGTCGATGCCAGCGCTTCGGTCCAGAACTTGGTGTCGACAGTCGCCTTCTGGTTGGCATACAGCTTGAAGTAGTGCGTCAAGCTGTTCAAGAAGATGGCATACAGCGCGCCAGAGGTGCCATCCATTGAATCTTCGACTGCGGCGGCGACCTGGTCGAGCAGAGCGATGATGTTCTTCGGCGGGTAGGTTGACAGACTGTTCAACACGGCTATATAGAGGAACACGTCAGCTTCTCGTGGCTCACCCAATCTCACTGGTGTGGTTTCTTTTCAGTTGTACTCACCTTCCGCCCCGCGCTTGAGCGTTGTGCCACAGTCTCCATCACCCACGATACTGTCGTACTTTGTGACTTCTGGTTCGGCGGCGATGATGGTCTTCAAACCGTGCTCGAGTCGACGTTGTGCCATTTCCAAGTCGCATTCGAGGAGGCATTCCTGCTCCGATTTTGGTGAGTCTGTCTTGGAAGTGGTGCCAGTTTTATCTCCACGCTTGCCCGACGAAATGTCTCGTCTTTCCGGCACCTGCCAGCCGGTGACGTTGCTTGGTGCATCGAGCAACTCGAGCAGGCTCATTTTGACTCCCGTATCCACCATGTTGAGCAATGTGACCGAGAAACCTGGTCCGTCCAAGCTGGTCATGAACGTCCCAGCAAAAACTCTAACAGGCGTGATGTGGTACTGCCCTTGGAGCTGGTCCACTACCTCGGTCACCACGGCACCAAGCTCCAATACGCTCAGCGCTCCCAGGTTGTTGATCAACACCACAGCCTCCGCTGTCCTTGTTGGGAGAAAGTTGCGTTCCGCGTCACTGGGGTCGAGAAGCTGGCGGAGCATTTCCGACACCACAGACGGGAGCTCGGCGTCGCCGCCACTGCTCCTCCCACAGCCAGCCTCGTTGTGGATGCCCATTCCGATCTCAACTTCATCGGGAGCTAGTAAGCCTTCGGCTGAAGCATCACCTCGAGGTCGCCCTGGGACATGGACGTGGCTGAGACTGACGCCGATGCTGGCCAGGTTTTGCGCAACGAGGCGGCCGACACGGACGACATCTGGGAGCTCGTACCCTGCAGCAGCCAGGGCTCCAGTTACTTTGTGCACCAGAACCGTGCCAGCGATACCTCTTCTTCCGACCTTCCCAGCTCGACTTCTCGGAACACCGACATCATCACCTACGACCAGCATTTCAATTTGCAGTGCGGGATTTCGCGCCTTCGCCTTCTCAAGCGCCACGCCAAAGTTCAAAACGTCGCCGGTATAGTTCATGACGGTGACCAAGACGCCTTTGGATCCATCGACATTCTCGATGGCTGCCAAAACCTGCCGCGACGACGGAGACGCGAACACGGTTCCTGCCACACTCGCCGACAGAAAGCCTTCGCCTACAAAGCCTGTGAACGATGGCTCGTGGCCAGAGCCACCGCCGGATATGATCGAAACATGAGAAGCACCGTCGCGGATCTCTGGAGCGTAGAGGACTTTGTTCTCGGCATCGAGCGTCAGTTCTGGCCGAGTGATGGCCAGAGATCGCAGGGCCGCTGCAACCAGCTTGTTGGCATCATTGACGAAGTGTTTGGTCTGCATGGTGTTTCGAAATGGTAGCGTCAGGTTTTGAAAGAGATAGAGCTGCCTTCAACTGCCTTACTAACGCAGAATCTAGATCTTACTATGTTCTCCGATTTCAGAGTAATGTATTGGTGAGACTTTGCGGGAAAGTCTGGCATCCTGTATCCGTGCATCCCGGGCCACTAGCAGACCTTACTCCACCGGGGATGCTTTGTGTGGTATTGCGTACGTATTATGATCTGATCGGTATGGCGGCACCCTGAACACATATCCAAACCACCGGGTTCAAAGCGAATACCCTGAACAGAATTCCGCGGCAAGGACCTGTCTTGGATTGCCAGGAAGAAGGTTGTGAGATTGGAAATCTTGGAGCAGGGGAAGCCGAAGCCTGTTGGCGCATCCACTTACCGAATATGGGGGAAATTGGCGCGACAGTCGCTTCAGATGTCCGGAAGCAGCATTTGAAGCCGCATGAGCCACCATCAATTGCACGCGGGCCCCCAACACCTGCGCGGACCTAGAATCATCCTGGATCTGTGAGCACAGGCTGTACCGGCTAGAACCGGCCAGGGTCTAGCAGGCAATTGTGCATGGGCAGCAGCACTGCATGGGATCGATGATGAGAGGAGATCCTGGGACGTGCCACATTAAAACGGTCACAACAACCCACGTTACTAGACAACCTGAACGAAACCTGCCGTAAAACAGGAAACATCACCTGTTACCACATCCTCAGTTTCGCGAAGACTTTCTGTTCAAATGGCGCCAGGAGTTCTTGCAGGATCCGCCGTCAGCGACACGACACTGCCTGATTTCGTCCCGGAGACGCAACAGACAGCGGCCAACAGAAATGCCGAACAGCTATTCTCCTTAGCAGGCACAACCACGGTCGTGACTGGTGGTGGACGAGGTCTCGGCATCACCTTGGCCAGAGCCATCGTGGAGGCAGGTGGTCACGCCGCTTGTCTCGACGTCCTCCCGGAACCGTCGACAGAGGAATGGGCCAGTTTGGAGAAAGTTGCGAAGCGATCTGGGCTTACCGCCTCTTATTATCGATGTGATATCACTCAAGAGGAGGAGCTCTCCCGAGTGTTCAAAGAAGTGGATGACAAAGCAAAGCAGCACAATGCCCCATTGAAGGGGACAGTGGCCTGCGCGGGCATTCAACAGAAGGTCCCGGCCTTGGACTATCCTGCCGGAGATTTTGAGCGGATGTTGCGGGTGAATGTGACCGGCGCCTTCTTGACAGCCAAGCAGGCAGCCCGAGTCATGGTCGACAACGGCACCGGTGGAAGCATCGTTCTGATCGCGTCCATGTCCGGCAACATTGCTAACAGGGTAAGGATGCTGGAGACCTTTCCTGGGTGGGGGCCGTATGTGACTGACGCGCGGTATATAGGGCCTCACCTGTACTGCGTACAATTCCAGCAAAGCAGCAGTACAGCAGATGTGTCGTTCAGTTGCGCAGGAATGGGGACAATATGGGATCCGAGTCAACACCCTGTCACCTGGTGTAAGTTGACCTTACTGCTCCATTGTCGCTAAGGCTAATTTGAGACAGTACATCCGTACTGCCATGACAGACGCCCTCCTACAGGCCGAGCCCGAGGTCGAGAAGACCTGGATGGCTGGTGCGCTTCTGGGACGTCTGGGGGCTCCAGAAGATTTCAAAGCCCCCATCGTGTTTCTGTTGGGCCCCGGGAGCAGTTTTATGACCGGAGCAGACCTCAGAGTGGACGGAGGGCATTGCGCTTCCGCATAAATGGTTCTGGATAGTCGCAGAGCGCTCGGCGTGGCTTCCGTGGAGTTTCTATATTGGGTGAGATAGTGTGCTAAATTGAACATTTTCAACCACTTCCCGTGTATCCAGCCATTCCCACTTGTTTTTGAACATATGAACGATATAGTAGGTAACTCATAGTAGAAAGTAGATCAGATCAGATCACGCAGGCCGCCTGCGGCAGTGCCACATATATACCACTAGGTCTCTGGAGCCCACCGTATATTTGAGGGCTTTTCGTGGTAAAACTGCGGAGCATGCGGTCCATCTGGCAGAAGACTTGGTCTCACCTACAACCAAACCTACACTCCTCTCACAGTGCAGCTTTGCCCAAACCTCCCTCCCAGTCGCCATGTATGGAGGGCATTGCCGGCGGACGGTCTCCAGGAAGAGACACCAGAAATACGCGGCGCACTCGTTCGCGGGCGGGCTGTGTGAATTGTCGGCACAAAAAGAAGAAATGTAGGTTAGGCCATTCCTGCCCTCAACCAAACAGTCCTTCAGGCCGCAATGATGGATGATGCGTGTGGCTGACGAGAGGAGACGCCAGGCGATGAGTGCAAGCCGAGATGCTCAAATTGCCGCCGGACTGGCGAGCGGTGCCAATGGGCGCGGCCGCTGAGCTTTCTTCCGCACAATGCTTTGACCGTCGACGAGAACTCCAAATCAACACGTCTGAGCGTGGACAAGCCAACAGAAAGCCGGAAAAAGGTAGTTTGAGATGCTGTCTCTTGTGGGATCTTGGCTAAAAGCATGCACGGTACTTAGACCGTCCGGCATGCTGTCGAGTTGACCAGAGCTGAAGAGTCGCCGCCAAATACCACGACCCGCGACAGCAGCAGTCACAGAAGTAGTACCAGCCGGGGAGAAGACATCGACAGTGATGGTGTCCACGAAGCTGTCGTCCCTGACCGACATGAGCTTGCGGTCTTCGATGCTCAGGACGCAGCGACCGCGACGGCCGGCCTTGACAGTCTCCCTAATCGTCATCTATACGCAGCGTTCCACGCAGATGTGTCACCCAGCTCAGCGGCACCACTCCATTCGCCCTCTTTAGCTGGCAGCCTCGTGCAAGCCGCACCCGACGCACAGCATACCTCGTTACCGGGCTCTACCCACGTATCGCTTGATCTATTCACATCCAATAGACAGAATTACCCCGTCTTGGAAGGAGCCGGCTTCGAGCCAGAGCCGGCTGGTGAAGACATAGACTTCCAGCTTTCGCCTGACATGTTGACGGATGACGGCATCTTTCTTCCAGGTTCTAGATACCAGGCACTCCACAACACGCTACGAAACCACGTTTTCATCACCGCCCGCTCGGCACAACCTAGTCGCGAGGCCAGTCCAGGGGATCGCAGGCCCGACTATGACAGCAACGCTCGCATTCTTCCTCAAGACGGCCCCGGTCCCATATTTCGGTTTGCCTATTCTGCCGGGGCTGAAGAAATCTCAGGGACCAACATCCAGCTGACTCCCCACCAGGAGTACATTCTTTGGAACAATTGGATTGTTGAAATATCCGGTTGGGTAAGTACGAGGTCTCAAACAAACATATTACAGCACATCTTTCCAGGCTATATCTGACACTGTTGCAGCTCGACAAATTTGACGCTAAGAAGCACTTCAAACACACGCTTCCAATCCTGGCCAAGACATGTTCGCATTTGCGGTTCTCCATGCTCGCATTAAGTGCCAGGCAGCTTGAAAGAAAGGATGGATCGTTGCCTGCATCCATCAGCCTGGCTTTGTACCAAGAGGCAATCCACCGATTGCTCCCTGAGCTGCACACCAAGAACGCCACTGTAGTGGCTTCATGCGTCGTTCTCTGTGTGCTGGAGATGCTGAGCTGTAAGGGATCCAGATCTAGCCTTTACTCCAGACCCAGCCGTTACTCCAGATCCAGCCCTTACTCCAGACCCAGCCTTTACTCCAGACCGTACGGCTGACCCCAGCACTAGGTTCCCCCAAGGCCTGGCGTCGTCACCTCGACGGCTGTGCATCTCTTATCAGAGCCATGAATATTCGCGGAGACAGCGGTGGAGTCGAACAAGCTCTCTTTTGGTGTTTTGCTCGCATGGGTATGTCAGTCACTCAGCAGCCAGTCTTACTTTCTCGAATTAGCAGAGGGAGGGAGATGATTTGCGGGAGAGGGAGATAATTCGCCCCTCGCATCGTCACCAAGATCTTCTAGCTTGTGCTCTTGCTAACCTGACCTTTCTCTCCAATCCAGATCTTTGCGGCGGCCTCATCTCCAATGAGAGAACTCTGATACCCATCGACGAGTGGATGTCAACCGGGTCGTTTGAGCTGGATTGCGACGTGTTTCGCACACGCGCTCTGGAAGTGTTTGAAGAGCACGCCAACTACGCATGTTATCTGGTCGGCCGAGTCCTGCACTTTCTGTTCGGGTCGCCCAAGCCTCGCGACCGTGCGCCCGAGATCTACGGCGAGGATCAGCCCAACTATGCGGAAAACTGGGTGTTGCTTTTCAATCGCCTGGAGGAATGGTACGCCCTCCGGCCCCTGGAGATGCAGCCGCTATTGTCCCTGAACCCAGGCGGGGGCGGGCTCCCCGACGGACGCAGTTCCCCATTTCCCACGGTTCTGTTTGGGAATGGCGCCGCCATCTCGGGCAACCAACTCCAACACACCGCCGCTCTCCTCATGTTGCAGCGCATCCCCAAGACCGTGCCGAGGAAATCTCGCTCGATTCTATGGCATGCCCGGCAGATTTGCGCAATCTCCATCTCCAACGCCCACCACGGTTGTTGGACCAACAGCATTCAACCGCTCTGGCTTGCCGGCCAAGTCATGAGCCATCCGGCCGAGCATCAGGCCATTCTGGATATTTACGATCGTATCGAATCCGAGACCGGCTGGGGTGCAACTTGGAGAGCTGAGGATCTAAAGCAGCATTGGGGAGACTTGGACGATTGAGCCACGCCACCACTCTGACTGAGCCGGAGATCTAAAACAGTATTGGGGAGACTTGGACGATTAAGCCACGCCACCACTCTGACTGAGCCGGAGATCTAAAACAGCAGTGGGGAGACTTGGAAGACTGAGGCCAGGCCACCGCTCTAAAACAGCATTGGGGAGAATTAGACGACTGAGCCATGCCACCGCTCTGACTGTATAGCATGTGCGGTGCGTCTGAGGCAAATTGAGTCGTCTTGTGACGGCGGGTCCAGTCTGAACTATCGTGATAACATGATCTGGTGTACGGCATTTTAAATTCAGACATAGGACATTCCACAAGCTCCTGGACATGAAACCGACTACGCAGTCCATCAAAACTCTCCTCCACAGCGTTTGTTTTGTCACCCGACGCCATATTAAATCACCATCACCATCACCCGGCTCTTTTGTCGATTTGTCTCTGCCTCACTTGGCACCTTTTGCAGCTCCACTTCCATGTTACATGTTTCCAAAGGTGCCAACTACAAAGACTTTGCACTATTTCCCGTGCTCATCTCCTCCTCCATCACCGACGGCTGTTCTTCGCTTGCGACCTTGACGTCGGCCGCGGCGACATAGGACCCCTTGCGGTCGTTTGCAACCTTGACATCCGCGACATAAGACCCCTCGCGGTCGTCCATGCTCGGCAACCAATGAAGCAAGACCTTTTCGCCAGTGAACAGCTTGTCGATTTGCTCGAGAGACAGATTGCGCGTTTCAGGATAGAAGAGCCAGATAATAGGCAAGAAGGCGGCGTTGAAGACGGCAAAGTAGATGTAAGTGCGCCAGCCGATGTTGTTGATTGACACCGGGGTGATCTCGACGACCAAGAAGGTGAAGATCCAGTTGCTGGCGGATGCAAGGGCGGCCGCCTTGGTCCTGATTGCCAGAGGGGCATATTCGGCGGGAAGGCACCAGGGTATAGCCAGTAGACCAACAGCAAAGAAAAAGTTGAATACGAAGAGCATCACAGAGGCAACGATGCCAGAGGCGTGGTTCCCGTTGCTCACCGTGCCCGCTAGGATGGCCATGCAAGCTGCTTGGCCGGCACATGCGAACAGCATCAGCTTCCTCCGACCGAGTCGATCTAGGCACCAGATCGGGATCAGGGAGGACAAGAAGTACGCCACTCCGTTGAAGCCGGCCAGAAGCATAGATAGGTTGTGCGACATGCCGACCGAGGTCTGGAAAATCACGGGGGCGTACTGGAGAATTGTTAGAGGAGAATTGTCAGAGGAGAATTGTCATAGTTGATCATATTCACTAATAATCCTAACCGTACCAGCACCGTTGGGGGAGGAAGGTAGGCGGGAGGAAGGAGGCGGGAGGAAGTAGGAAGGAGGAAGGTAGCCAGGAGGTAGGAAGGTGGGAGGTAGGAAGGTGGGAGGTAGGAAGGTAGGAAGGTAGGCAGGCAGGCAGGAGAAAAACTCACGTAAGTAATCAAATTGATCCCACTCAGCTGCTGCATGAATTGGCCGCCGATGCCGAGAAGAGTACGGCGGCGGAATCTCTGCGGGCTGCTTTTGAAGAGGGCCAGGAACGACGTGCTGCCTGCCGCTTCTCTTTCCTCGTTGAGGGCATGTTCGATCTCTCGAAGCTCAGTATCGATGATGGGATTATTTGGTGAGATGGAGGTTACGTCGCCCTGGAGACGCCAGAGGATGTTGCGTGCCTCTTGCGAACGGCCGTGGGCAATCAGCTGGTAGACATGGTTAGTGGGGTGATTTTGGGGAGGGAGGGAGAGAGAGAGAGAGAGAGAGAGAGAGAGAGAGAGAGAGAGAGAGAGAGAGAGAGAGAGAGAGAGAGAGAGAGAGAGAGAGAGGATATGTGTGTGTGTGTGTGTGTGTGTGTGTGTGTGTCTGTGTGTGTGTGAGAAATATCTACTTACCCAACGAGGTGACTCAGGCAAAACAAGCATGAGCGCAATGGTGATGAGGGCAAAGACAATCTGGAAGCCGATTGGGAAGCGGAACTGGGCCTCGCTAGTGACATAACTCATGCCATAATCTGTCGAAATCGCAATTGAGTCGTGTTAGTTTTCAAGCAAAAAGACATGACTTGACTTGACACTCACCAACCCAGTAGGAAAGCATGACGCCGAAGATGTTGATGGCCAATTCGATGGAGAGGCCTTTGCCTCTGGACGTGGGCTTCATCAGTTCGGAATGCCAAACAGCTAGATAGGGATGTCAGCAATCAGAATTAGATGTCAGCAATCAGAATTAGATGTCAGCAATCAGAATCAGAATCAGCATCAGAATCAGAATCAGAATCAGAAATCAGAAGTCGACAATTATCAATCGGCAATCCGCAGTTCAGTTTGTCTTGGGGGTCAAGATCAACGCTGTCTTGTCCACATAAATAGATACACTGACGCGCAGAAATCGCGCAGAAATACATATACGTATATCTCCGGTGGCAGTATATATATACACTCGAGCGGTGGGAGAGGAGACAAACAGAGACACCGTTGGGAGAGCAGACAAACAGAGACAAGGGGAGAGGACACAAACAGAGACAAGGGGAAGAGACAGCCAAGACCACCCGGGTGATACGTACGAATAGTTGAAGTGTTGACGCCGTTCCCCAACCCAGCCACAATGCGACCGACGATCATCTGAGCGATCGAATATGACGAGCATTGGATGGCGGCGCCGATGCTGAGGACGACACAGCCGAGGATGATGGACCAGCGACGACCGATGGCCTCGGCGAAGACGAAGGCGAACAGGGCGCCGAAGAAACAGCCGATCTCGTAGATGGCCACCACGGTGCCTTGGAGCGACGAGCTGCCGTTGCCGTCGTCGGTGGTGTCGATGGATGGGAATTGTTTGGTGAATGCCGATCCGGTGAGGAGGCCGCTCATGACACCTTGGTCTATAGATGGTTAGTAATAGAATAGCATGGCAATAGCATAGCATAGCGATAGCGATAGCAATAACAATGCATAGCAATGGCAAAGCAATAGTAATAGCATATCAATAGCAATAGCATAGGAATAGCTGAAAAGTTCGGATGGCGAGCGTTGTTCGGGTTGGTTGGTTGATGTGGTTCAGGTCAGATGGTATGTGAGTGATGAACCAACCAACCAACCAACCAACCAACCAACCAACCAACCAACCAGGTGTTATTCTTCTTTTCATCCTCTTCTTCTTCTCTTCTTCTTTTCTTACAGACCACCACCACGGCCATTCTTCCCATAAGCCGTGACCCACGACCTCCAGGAGTCCAAGGGGCGGGGCAGGTCTGCAAGAAGAGTTTCCAGTTTCCAGTTCCATCCCAGCTTAGGGGTATATATCTGATAATGCATGTTTTCACCGCATTGAGCTTGTAGGCAAGGTAGCCAGCCATAGACACAGACAGAGACAGACAGATACAATGACAGTGTAGCGTAGCTTGGGGTGGTTGGGGTTGGGCGGTTGGGCGATTAGGTGGTATGACTTAGGACAGGATGTGCAATCAAGCCTTTGGACCCAGAAGTCTCGCTGCGCTGCGAGAAGACCCAGACTCAAACTCAACTCAAACTCAGACTCACCATATCCAAACAACAAGAAACCCGAACCTGCAGCGATGGTGATGGCCCAATCTAGACGGGCTCCTCTCAGATTCGACATTGCTGATTTTCGCTTCGTTGTCAATTTCGATTCGTTTCGTTCGTTTCAATCTATTAGGTACGATGAACGCCCTGCCGGTAACGGTAACGAACGGTGACGGTGACGGATTGCTTGGTCCAAGAGACACGGCAGCAGGGTGAATCGCTCTGAGGAGTTCGAACCCAAGAACAAGAAAAATTTTCCCTCGCGCTGCGACTCCCGTGATTGTACAGTGGATGGCGGAAAAGGAAAGGAAAGAAAAAGAGAGGGATGATTCAACATGTCTCGTAGGACCTGGCCCAGAGGGTAGGGTAGGGTAGGGTATATATGTATACTGAAGGGTGTATGTACTTGTAGCGGTATGGCATAGGTATAAAGTGAGCGTACGGATATGGATACCTTCCTTACGGACTCTAATTGGACAGGAATTGCTCTAATAGCTCTGGTGGCGTCAAATCATTAGGGATTGCCAATGGGTCTGCTCCTTGCTTGGCGGGACCCCATACGAGTACGGAGTGCGAGTATGGAGTGGGAGGAGGAGGACCGGAGAACTACGGAGCTACTCTGCTAATTACTGTAGGTCAGCTGGGGGTGGGAGCTGGAGTCTGGGTGTCTGGGATATGGTATGAGGGACAAGGGCGCAGAGGTCAGGGGTCAGGCAGTCAGGGTTACAGTATCCGTATAGTACGTACCCTTGAAGCTGTGGGGGACCGGGGAGGCGGAGGCCTGACGTCGGCGGCGGGCGCTTGCGGATTCCGGATGGGGAAGTGCTATGCGTCGAGGGACGGGCAAGGGTGGTATGGGTATGGACATGGACTGGAACTACGGATAGACGGATAGAGCAAGGAGTATAGAGTGCACAGAGTCCGGAGGATACAGTACGGAGGATAGAGTCTAGAGTCTAGAGTCTAGAGCCTTGCTTTCTGTTCTGCGAAGTGGTAGGGTTAGGGTTAGGGTTAGGGTTAGGGTTATGTGGCCGGACTACATACCCCGTCCCCGGTCAGCGGCGCATAGGGTAGGCTGGGTAGGGTTGAGGGTTGCCGGATACAGAGACAGAGTACAGAGTATAGATTACAGTACCTACTAGGTATGAGGTATAGTGAAGTTGAGCCTACCTGCACAGATGGCTGTTTGTCTGTTTATCTTAACTACCAGTACTGTACATCTGACACGCACATTCGTTGGGCAAGGTATACAGGTACATAGGTAAGACACTCCTACCGAGTCATCTCGACAAACTCGCCGGCCAAGATCTCCCCCGCCTTCCTCTTCGCCAGGTACGCTTGAATCCGGGGCACGATCTTGTCCACCGTGAAGCCAAAGTACTCGTACGCCTTGGGCCCGGGGAGCGACTGGCCGAAACGGTCGGTGCTCATGCACACGGCCGCGTCGGCATAGCGTTCCCAGCCCAGGCCGGCGTAGGGCTCGATGACAACCACAGGCCGCCCGGACCCCCGCTGGAGGGTCTGTCGCTTGTATTCGAGGGACTGCTTCTCAAACAGCCGTGGGCTGGGGAACGAAACCACGCGCACACGCAAGGCGGCCGTCTCACGCAGCCGAGCGGCCACGTCGACGGCCAGGCCGAGCTCGGCGCCCACCCCGATGATGGTCAAGTGTGCGTCTGCGTCTTCCTCGATCACGTAGGCGCCGCGTCGCACGCCGTCCCGCCTCGTCTTGGGAGCCAGTTGTCGCACCGCGTGCCGCGAGGTCGAGATGATGGAAGGCGTGTGTGTGGCTTCGATCGCGGCGGTCCAGGCCCCCGCCGTTTCCTCGCTGTCACCGGGTCGGATGTACAGCAGGTTGGGCATCGCCCGGTACAGAGCGGCCAGCTCGATCGGCTGGTGAGTGGGTCCATCTTCCCCCATGCCGATCGAATCGTGCGTCGCGTGATGAATGATGTGGAGGTGTTGCAGGGCGCCCATCCGGACCGCGGGGGCGGCGTACAGATAGAACATGAAGAATCTGTGTCCGTCCATGTCAGCAGGAGCGATAGTAAGAGCAAGAGTAAGAGCAAGATACCCTAACCCTAACTCTAACCCTGGAATCGAACAATGCAAAAAGGGGAGGGAGAGAAAGAGAAAGGAGAGAAAAGAACTTACGATGAGGTCACGGGAATGATTGTGTTCGGGGCATACGCCGCCATACCGTTTGCCAGCGCTGCCATGGCATGCTCGCGGACGCCGTAGTGAATGTATCGTCCTCGGTAGCTCCCGTTGATGCCGCACTGGGGTTGGAGGCTGGGGTGTTGGAAATCTTCCTTGCCTTTCCACATCATGTTGACCGATGGCGACAGATCGGCGGTGCCGACCATGAATGTCTTGACTTTTTCCGCAATGGGGTTGAACACCAGCCCGGAGGATGCACGGGTGGCTGTGTCTTTGGCTGGGAACTCGCGCGGAATCAGGGACTCCCAGTTCGACGGCAGCTGTCCGTGACGCCGGGCCTCGAACTCAGCAGCCAGCTCGGGATATGCCGTGCGGTAGACCTGGAGCTTGTCGTTCCATTCTTTCACCAGCCGCTGGCCGCGAGGTTTGATGTCGGCGAAGAACTCGCGCACCGCATCTGGGACCACGAAGAACTCCTCAGGATTGAACCCGTAGGCCCGCTTCATGTCTGCCACCGCCTGGTCGCCGAACGCAGCGCCATGAGCCACCGCAGTGCCGGCCACCGCGCTGTCAACGCCAATCACGGTCCTGACGTTGATGAAAGTCGGTTTCTCTGTCGAACGTCGGGCTCTTTCCAGCGCGGCAATGATTCCTTCCACATCAAAACATCCATCCGCCACCTCGATCACGTCCCAGCCAGTGGCACGCATCTTGGCGTTCACGTCCTCCGTGTTGGTCAAATCCACGGATCCGTCGCACGTGATTTGGTTGTTGTCGTAGATGACGGTCAGGTTATTGAGTCGGAAGTGGCCTGCCAGTGAAATCGCTTCGAGTCCGACACCCTCCTGGAGACAGGCGTCGCCAATCATGCACCAGGTATGGTTCGTCACCACCTCGTGACCAGGCCGGTTGAACTCGGCGGCGAGATGCTTGGTTGCCATGGCCAAGCCCACCGCGTTTGCGATCCCTTGACCCAACGGTCCAGTCGTGACTTCGATCCCTTCATGTTCGATCTCGGGATGTCCCGGGCAAAGAGCGTCTTCGCGGCTCGAATGGTAAGACTTCAGTTGATCCAGTGTCATGGCTTCATAACCTGTCAGATGGAGGAAGGTGTACTGAAATAGACAGGTATGGCCGTTGGACAGGACAAACCGGTCCCGGTTGAAAAAGTCGGCCTGATGTGGCGCGTAATTCATGACATATTTCCACAAAGCCACCCCGATGGCTGCCATATCAATGGCACCTCTGCAAGTCTCGGTTTGTCAGTGACAGTCTTCAATCGCTCATCTCATGAACCCTAGCCCAGCGAAACTCGGCGAGTGACTCACCCTGGATGACCTCCCTTGAATTGCTGACATAGGTCGGCAATCAGTAGACGAAACGTTTTCAGGACCAAGTCGTGCTCCGCTGATGCATGTGATGCTATCCTAGACTCTGCCTTGTCTTTGGAGAATCCCAATCCGTTTTTACTGAGGATCGGGGTCTGGGCGGATGCATCGAGCTTGCCAGGGACAACCAGGTCCTTTTCTGCAATTGGAGACATGTTTGCTCAATTCAATCGACTGAACGTGCTTTCCTCTCCCCGTTCTCGTAGACACAGCGATGACAGAAAGTAGATATAGACACAGGGTAGAAGTGGAATAGCCCATAGTCCAGCATGTCGCCCTGACATAACTCTGAACGTTCTCCGACTGCACTGCTGGTCTCAGCCAAAGCACAAGGCTGAAGTTCCTGTTTGGGAGATGCGAAGCGCCAAAACTTGACTGAAGGGGCAGTTGTAGCCGTCCGTCACCATCGTTACTTTGTAGGCTCGGCTCCAGGGCCTCGTCTTGGGCGCCATGCCGATTAGAGGCTGAGCAGATCTTCCTATTCATCGTCCTCGTGACATATTAATTATTGGAGCATCGACCTCTCCAATTACCCCGGCGTCAAGATTGTGCGTCGCGTCAACACGCCTAGGCACATCCCAGGGACAGGGTGGACAGTGGACAGTGGACAGCTTTGATTGCGTCCTTGCCCACTGTCATCAGCGTGAGAAGTCAATGTCTTGTGCCTTGAGCTCGAGGGGCTCTCCATGCCGCATCCAGAGCGTATCGCAGATTTGGTGGTCATCTTGAGCCCAAGGCTGCAGTGAGCGTCGATGTTGTGGCTAGTAACAAGCTGGCTGCTAAAGCGGCAGTACATAATTCCCTTATTGGTCTGGACGCTCACGTGATGCCATGTGACCTTTAAAGATGTCGAGACTGCGGACTGGTATCAACATCAACTGCGACTGATTCCGCCACGTTCCCAATTCCTACAGTTGCCTTTGTATTGCCTTTGTTCGCATGTCACTCGTTTCTCCTTACCGTTACTGACTCTTGTAATACCTGTCTGTCATCCGCAACGTCCGCCTCCCCGGAGAACACCCGATCCCCGATCCCCGCTGCCGCATATCGAAGCATGTGAAAATCGCCTCCGGAATGGTGGTCCAAAAGGCCGATCAACGGCACCGGTACGGCGTCGTGCTTGACGCTGGATCGTCCGGCACAAGAGTCTACATCTACCGCTGGCTTCCGAACTCTGTTGCCCGCCTAGACGAGTCCGTTTTTCATGCTCTGCCCGCGTTGGAGACAGAGGACAAATGGACCAAGAAAGTGCATCCGGGAGTGTCAACCTTCGGCGACATTCCTGAGTCAGTTGGCCCGAAACACCTCCAGCCTCTTCTCGAACACGCGCTCAAATTTATCCCCAAGGATGCCGTGCCTGACACCCCGATCTTCTTGCTTGCCACGGCAGGCATGCGGCTGCTCCCCGAGCAACAGCAACACGACGTCCTGCGCAACATCTGCTCATACATACAATCTGAGACGAACTTTTCTTTGCCAGACTGTGACGTTCATGTCCAAGTAATACCGGGCGAAACCGAAGGGTTATATGGGTGGATTGCTGCGAATTATCTGCTGGGAGCGTTCAATGCCCCCGACGACCATAGCCACGGGAAAGGACACCATACATATGGCTTTCTTGACATGGGGGGTGCTTCGGCGCAGATCGCATTTGCGCCAAATGCGACAGAAGCAGAGAAGCATGCGAATGACCTGACCTTGTTGAGACTGCGGACGGTTGACGGTGTCCCTCAAGAGTACAAGGTTTTTGTCACGACATGGCTTGGCTTCGGGGCGAACGAAGCCCGGCGTCGATATGTGGAAGATCTAGAAGAGTCCTATGGAACCGATGGGGTGTTGGAGATGCCAGACCCGTGCCTGCCAAAGGGTCTGAAGGCGAAGCAGGACGGAACGATAATCTCGTCGACAACATCGGCCACAGCTTCGAGCCACTACCTGCTCGGCACGGGCAACTTCGAAGAGTGTCTTCGAAAGACCTTTCCATTACTCGAAAAGGACGTACCGTGTCCAGATGAACCGTGTTTAGTCCATGGCGTTCATGTGCCAGCCCTGGATTTTGACGTCAACCACTTCATCGGAATCAGCGAGTACTGGCACACGACGCACGAAATCTTCGAAATGGCACACAAGGACAAGGCTTATGACTTCAACACATACCAGAATCGGGTCAAGGAGTTCTGTGAACAGGACTGGTCGGCCATCGAGAAGGGTATCAAAGACAAAACGTGGGGAAAGAAAGTCGATGAGAAGACCGCGATGGAGGTGTGTTTCAAGGCGAGCTGGCTTATCAATATGTTGCACGACGGCATTGGTATTCCACGAGTCGGCCTAGAAGATACCTCGTCCTCCCACAACGGGACAAAAGAACTGCTTGAAAGCGGAAAAGAGAAGGGATTCCTCGATTCGTTCCAGGCAGTGAACAAAATAAAGTCAACAGAGGTCAGCTGGACCTTGGGGAAAATGGTACTCTACGCATCCGCAGAAGTTCCTTCGGCCCGAGAAGGAGAACTGCCCGTTGGGTTTGGCAGCAATGTGCCTGGCATACCGAAGGATTTCCAGTACCCAGGCGGCGGAAGACTGCAAGATATCCCCGACTACCACGTGGGCCCGGACACGAAGACGGGTGCAGACGGCGCAAGCGCAGGCGCAGGAGTAGGGGCACACAGCATCACCGACCAGATCCACGACACACTGTTCAAATCCGACGCGCCGCACCGGCTTCCGGGCTTCATATTCTTCCTGTTGATTCTCATCATCGCCACCTTTTACCTTTGCGGCCGAGATCGGCGGGCTCGCATCTATCACACTCTATTCCCGACTTCTTCTTCTTCGTCTCCCAAATCCTCTTTCCTTGGTCTGTTGTTTCGCCGCCACCGCCGCCGGCACAGCGCAGGCCGGTATGACCGCGACCGCGATCTCGAAGACGGAGACGCGGCTGCCCGGCTGTACGACCCGCGAGACTTTGAGCTAGAAAACGTGGCGTCCTCGTCGGCGTCGGCGTCCGACGATGACGACCTTGGTCTCGACCCTGACGCGGCCTTTCGAAAATCCTCCCAAGCCCGCACTTCGCCCAAAACCAAATACGACCTGGGCCGACTGCCTTCGGACGTGATGGACAGGAAAGGCCTGGTGGTCAGGACCGAAAGTCGTGAGCGGCTCGGTCTCGGCCTTGAATCTGTTGCGAATGGGCGTTCCAAGAGCAGAAGCGGGAGTCCGACCAGGTTGACACCATGACATGACATGACCATGAGGTAGCCTCGATATTAGATCCCGTCGAGTCAGGTGTCAAGTCTACGTAGAGAAGCTTTTGTGTTTCAATACATATTTTGTAAAAACAAACCAAACTGCGCCACCATGTCTCTCTATCTCTATCTCTTTCTCCATCTTACCTCCATAACCTCAATCACAAATCTGACTATATGACAAGGGATGTGACTATCTCCATCTCTCTCCATCTCTATCTCTATCACTCTCTTACCTTAATGAACTCTGCAAGTCCGACTATATATAGTATGACAAGGGATGCCATCTTGATCAGGCATAGCATAGTATAGCATAGCATCGATATGTCATATATTAAATATTTTCGTTTTCTTTCATTGCATTGCTTTGCGTAAACTTTCTCGTGACTTTGCAGCACCTACTCACTACTGTCTACTAGGTATATATCTATATCGATCTCTCGATCTCAATCTCTATCTCTATCTTACCTTGATTAACTCGATTGTAAGTCTAACTAGATGACAAGAGATTATCTCTATCCCCATCTCTATCTTAGCTTAATGTACTCTGCCCATCTCTAACTTAGCTTAATATACTCTGCAAGTCTGACTATATGGTATAATAAGGGATGCCATCTCGATCAAGCATAGCATCAATATATCATATATTTTCTTTTTTCTTATATTGCATTGCATTGCGCAAGTACCCTTCTGACTTTGCAGCACCTACTGTCTACGTGGTACGTATCTATCTGGTATTTACATCGGTACGAGTCTACTGTGTCTATCTACTAGGTATCTATATCGGTAGAAGCCTGCTGTATATTCTAGGTACGTATCTACATCGGTACGAGTATACGAGTTGCAAGCTGGCTGGCCTGGGGTCAAATCTAATTCACTGTAGCTACTGTAGGTACTGTAGGTACTGTAGGTAGCTGGGCTTAGAGTGTTGCCGTCTGGACATGCAGGGTCGATACGCTGAGACTATATCCGTACACATACACCCACCCCAATCTGTCTCACTGACTGCACCGTAGTACTAGCCATACATACCATGGCACTCACAGCGCAGTTATATACAAGACAATAGGAACTGCCGTTCTAGGCGAATCGAATCATATCATCTGGCCACCCACATTGACTATAGTACATATGTCGAGATGCAACACAAGCAGATCAGACCGAATGACCATACTACCCCCCCTTCTTCAGACCCGAACTGACAGCCTCGGGCAAGTTGAACTCCGGGATGCCGCCCTCAGACTCCGGCTCGCGGATCGGCCGCAGCAGACTCGAACTGGTGCCGCCGCTGGCTGCTCGGCGCTCGCGCTCTCGGATGGCCGCTTGCTGCGCGGGCAGCGTGGCCGTGACTTCGCGGAAAAACGCCTCGAGACGGTCTCGGTCTCGACAGAACGCCTCGATGTCATCCTTGATCTGCTCCGGCGTCACATAGTGGGAGATGCCGGAGCGGACCAGGCTGCGGCGACCACCGCCGAAAACGTCCGCCGTCACCGCCACCGTGGACGTGGACATGGAGCTGGAGCCAAGGCCGGCACTCGAGGAGCTGTTGGTCGTAGTGTTGTTCGTGCCCGCGCTGGTCGTGGTGGCCGTGGTGGCCACTGACACAGGCCGGATAAGCGGGGATGCAAACGGCCCCAATCTCGGAGACTGAACGTTCAGCCCGATGATGCCGGATGCTTGCATAGACGGTGCCGAGTACGAGTCGCGCGTAGCCGCCAGGGTTGGAGGGCGGAGCAACGTCGAGCCAAACACATTCAGCGCTGCATCTTTCTTTCCGCTGCTGTCGAATTTGGCGGCCACGGCCTCTCGATTCAGCGCCTGTCGCGAATTGTACATTCGGTTGGCAAGGAGCAAGAGGTCGCCTTCATCTGTGATCTGCGCGAGCAACACCCCTGACCGGTGCACAAACTGGGTGTATCGGTAGTCCAACTTCCCCCACGAGTACTGGATCTCGACGTTTTCCGGGAACTCGGAGACCGCTTCGAGGTCAAGCACGAAGTTGAACCGCTTCAACACCGCTTTCTGGTACAGGTAGTTGTCCGAATTCAAGGGAAGCTGTGGTCCGAACGAGGTGGCGGTGAAATACGTATTGGAGACGGAGTTGCGGCGCGGAGGTTCGATGGCAAGCTTGACACGATATGGAGTGCGGAAAGGTTCATGCTCGGGCACTTTGGCCGCCTCTGCAATCGGCACTTCGACCAGTTTCAACCCATACTTCTCGGCCTGCGTGGTCCAGCTCACGATTGCATCGTCAACAAGCTTCGAGGTCACATTCAGCCATGACAGCTCCAGGTGGTAGCAATTCTCCGGATTGTGTAATCGGTCGTAATGCAGGTTGATGATTTCCGGCCGGTTGGACCGCTTCCGGTGATCGACGTCGATTCGAATCATTTTGCTCAACGTCACTGTTCTTCTCTTTTTTTCGCCTAGCGATTTTCCCAGCTCAGAGCTGACTTGGGCTTGGGTTGCCAGACTGGATCCTGAGCGCGACCGGCCAGCCGCCAACTCTCGTCCCGCATTCTCCGAAATGGGAGTCGGCGGAACTGATCGTTCTGAGCGTCGACTTCCAGGAAACCAGGACGGTTTGACTTCTTGTCGCTGCACACGCCATTCCGGTCTGATCGAGTAGAAGAAGTTGCCGTCTTTGAATTTGTGACGGCTGTTGACGTGTTCAAAGAGTCCCTCCTTCATCAGATCGTTGCCGAATTCCACCGCCTCCTCGCGGGTGTCAATGTCCCTGAAGTTGTGGACCAGCCAGTTGGTCAAGTCTTCGCCCAGGAAGCAACTGTAATGAAGCCGCAGATGCCATCGCCTGTTCTTGATCTCAATGCCTTTGTCGCCCTGTATGGTTTGTGCGAGCTTGGCCAGGTTGAACGACTCCCTGTCGAACTGATCCTCTTCAGGGAGAAGCTGAGTCGTCTGTAGCTCACCAGCCTCTTCCGCGGCGAGGAGCTTATCGAGCTCGGTCGCCACCAGTTCAGAGGGATTGAGGGTCTCGAGATTGATGCGCAGTGGATTCCGATCCTTCCTTTTGACGGTGCCAAGGCGATTGTGAGGGGGCCTTCTCTCGTCCGGCGGAAAGTAGCGAGCCTTTTGCCACATCTGAGTCAGGGCTCGGATCCCTCGCAGATGGATTTCCTCTTCGTTTTCTTCGCTGTCTGATGGTGCTGGTCTCCGTGCATTGGCCGGAGGTTCTACTGGGATGAGGACAAAGCGAGCACGCCAAAACCGAAGGGCTTCCGTATCGGCATCCGTCTGCTTGTTGAAATCCGCCAGGTATTTATCTGCCGCCTCCCAGGGGTATTGTTCGGAAAACCCATTGAACTCCATGTCTCGGAGCTTGTATGTCTCCGACAAAATCGTCCTGATGTTTGGGTAGTACTTTATTTGCTGAGGATAAGGAGGTTGGACGCTGGGAGTTCTACGCACATACTTCGACACCTGAATGCGGTCTGCGTCGTGCAGAGATATTTTCTGGACGGTATTTCCCATTGACATGAAGATGAAGGAGCCGTCGGGTCGCACGATGCCAGATGTGAAGAATGAGGAGCTGTCGCACATCCCAGGGCCAACCGACTCGATTAGAGAGTTGCCGACTATCAGTTGATATCCATGGGAGAATCTCAGGGCCATCATCTCTTGGAGTAATGTGTCGCGCGACGCAGGAACCTCCAACATCTGATTCGTATTCTCTAATCTCAAGTCATAACTCACCACATCGTAGTCCGTCTCGAGTTCTTGCCTCGAGGGGAAGTCCTCGGTGGTGAGTGGAACTGAAGCAGGAGTACACAGCGACCGCCATTTGACCGTGGCGGCGCGTGGTTTCCGGGGGTAGAGGTGTTGCCATCGACCAAAGAATGAGTCCCTATTTGGATCTCGTTTCAACGGATTCGAGGCGTTCACATTCCGCACAAAAGGGAGATTGCTTTTCGGGACTGAGCTGGCGACCGATGTTCCCAGCCAGCTTCCGGCACGGCCAATGCTGCCATCATCGTGTTGGTCCTCAACATCAGAGGATATCGACGAGCTGCTGTCTACCCCATCGTCTGCTTGAGAGTCCACTTCCGCGCCTCCCATGTCATCTCGAAACTTCCGCGAAGTTGAGTCTGAGAGGTGTGAAGCACCAAGGCCTCCATCAAGATATTTTCGGAAAGGGGTATTGATGGAAATTGGTTTGGATGGGGTCTCGGTCGGTCGGACCAGGGCTCTTTGCATCGACTGCTCTGCAATGGCAGGGCGTACAGGGGTAGCCTTATCGCCAACCATACTGTTTGTAGAGACTGATCGAATACTAGCAGCCGAGGTTGCCACGGTTGGCCGTGAATGGCCCGGATTGCTGAGAAGCGGCTGTGCCTGGATATTGGTGATGTTCACTTCGGTACTAGCAACAGCCCTGACGGGAGGAGCCAGACCCCGGAGAGAATAACTCAGGTTTCGGTTGACCTTGGTCACTTCGGGCGTTTTCTTGCTTGGAGTAATCGGGCTCGAGCCGTCTGAAGACACCAAAGACGGGAGGTGTGGTCGGAAAGGTGAGTTGAGAGACTTGTTCGTGAGGATTTTCGTCAACTTGGACTCGGATTTAGGCTCGTCAACCGGAGTCTGAACCTTTGTGAGCAGATGCAGCGTTGCGGCCTCGCTTCTTCTTGGGGGAGTTGACGCCCGTGTTGATCTTCGTGCTAGAACTTGAAAGCTCATTTGCGTTTGGAACAGCCCTGCATCGTACCCGTCCATACGATTAAAGATGTCGCCTAGAGCCCTTGCATGTGTTGACAGCAGGCCTTGTGACGGGCGAATAGGTTCAGCACTCAGCCGGCCTTTGCGTGATATGGTTGGGGATTGAGAAAGACTTCTGATGCCGCTCGCGCGCCTTCTCTTGGACCTGACACGACCGAGTTGACCAAACGCCGGGTTTTGCGTCTCGCTGATGTAAGGGATGCTCATATCCGCCATGCCCAATTCCATCAGCCCCATCATCTGAATTTCATACATCCTCACCCGAGGTACAAAGGGCCCTTTCCTCCGGCTTTCACGCTTAATTCCGTCCATCTGGCCACGTTGCGCCAGCTCGATCGCTCCAGGCTCAGATTCAGCGGACCAGTATGACAGATCGATCCATTGTGGGATCCCGAAACACCAGCCAGATGTGTTTTCGCGATTCTGCCCCGACACATAGCTGGCCAGAAACCGCGTGCTATTTGTTGTGATGGAAGACAGGGCAGGAGAGAGCTTCCTAGGTTGACTTGAGTCGAAAAAGCTTGGACCCGACCCAGATCTTCGAGGACTCCCCGCGAGCTCGCTTGAAAAGTCGTGGATGGGAGGGTCTTCCGTGCCCGTAACTCGATATTTGAACAGCGGTACAGAATGTAGCGGCATTTTTGACAGGCAGACAATGTCGATTCCGACGCCGTTGTTGGTCAAATTCTGCGACGTCACATTGAGAAGGTCGCGGTTGACTTCGAAGATCCCTGTTCCTGCAGTAACGACCACGATTGACACACCAGTTCGTATCAAGTCTCGGTCGATGTTGTCGTTGGAAAATTGAGTGGCGGCAATGTTTATCGCCTCTAGGATATTCCCCTTTAAAGCCGTGCTAGGCCGGCCGGCTATACGTGTGGTGGTAGGCTTTGCATCCTCCAGTGAGACTTCATTCTTGCTAGAAGTGTGCAGAGAAATGTCTCTCAGGAAAACACGAAAATCCTTCTTGAGTTCGTCCAAGATCGTCGTCCACTGAGCGCTGGCCATGTCTGTAACGACCACCCTATAAAAGTCTTGATATTGGCGAGCTGTCATATTAGGCGTTCCTGAAGCCGGCGCCGTCTCAAGTCTTCGATCCTTATTCCGGGCAAGATCAAAACGGTCATACTCAAGCCGGCCGAAGAGAACGATGCTGACCAAATGTCGAACGTCCAGACCGTGCCACCGTTTAAAAAGTTCGGGGAGGAAACCATTGATGACTCGATTGAACATGATTTCACCATTGCCCTCTGAGTCGAAGTCCCACATCTCACTGGACATTTGGATGAAGAGGACGTAGCGAGCGGCTTCACTCCGAAAGATGGGAATTGTGGTCCCCGCAAAGTATGCGGTGGGCACCTTGTGGCCGTGAACGTGAATGGATTTGACCGTGAGTTTGACACTTCCGAGATAGGCGATCTTTTGACCTACAAAAACGGTCCTCCCCACCAGCTCTTGGCCAACCAGCCGCCACATATCGGATCTGGCCAGATATACATCCCTGAAGCTGAATTCGACGTGGGACGCCGTACAGTCTTCAAAAGAGGTGGGGAGGATCCAGACGTATGAGCGTGATCGAAGACCAAAGAGCTGGGCAATGTTGCTCTTGATCGAGACCTGGAGATTGGCCTGCCGTGCTTTGAACTCCGCTGACGCAAACTTGGCAATGCAGAGGTACCGGGTGCCTCGATCAAGGGAATGTTCATTGTCGCCTGGAGTGCGCCTGATATCCTCATTTTCGCCACTCGGAGACTGAAAATCACGGACGTCGGATGTTTCCCTTGCGGGAAATATCTCAATCAGGCCGCCTTCGCTTATCGCCGAGCCCTCCAGGATAGACTCGTTGATGAGGACCTCTTCAGAGGAAAAGCCATCGTCATGAACCCAGAGAGTCGCTCGGACTGGCTGGACGGCCGGCAGAGAAGGTGGCCCATCACCCAACCCTGCCCTGGCTCCAAGAGCAGCCTTCACGGTAGAGCCACTACTGGTTCTTCGATGCACGTCGGGCCTGTACATGCTGAGGGTTACGAGGTAGGCTCTTTACGTCACAGTGGTTTTGGCGCGTTTGTGGACCATAACATGATTGTGCAGGTCGGTGCGACTGCTCCTGCAGAGTCGACTCGCAATCATATTTCCTGAGAGATCCTGACAGGTGGGAGAATCCCCATCGAGCAAATCCCTTCCCTTAAGCTTCTTATGCGAGAGGAGGACGGTGGAGGGATTGATCTGTCGGAGACGGCAGGGGGGTCGAGACTGAAGGACACGTCCGAGTCGAGGTGGGAGTCGGGGTACAAGTCGAAGTGCACGTCGAGGTGCGAGTCGACGGCGACATAACCTTGACTTGACGTGAAAGATGCCAAGCCTCACGTGATACGCTTAACCCCCGTGAACTTGAAGCCTCCTCGGTCCCTTTGTTATGCGGCTGGCATCAAGGCGTGAACATCAAGTAGTAATAGAAAACTGGTTCATCGGTCTTCGTACGGATATACTCTGCAAGGTTGATTTGATCTTACATCTAAGTTCCATCTACTTGTGGCTAATAATACATCTACTCAGAGGGTATCTTCGTCGGCATCAGATGCACTCCAGCACTTTTTCATCAGTCATCACATGTACACGTCTGGTAGAAGTAGAATCTACCAGACCGTTCTTGTCTCAACATTGAGGAGCCATTTCTTGACCCCTTCGCGCAAGACGTTGTCTTGCTTCATCTCATGGTCGAGAGCTTTCCCGTCAATCCGGACGTGGCCATCCACGTCTCGGGCGCGTTGATGTTTGGCCAAATCGTCGTTGACGCTCCTGACAACCTCCTCCAAGGCCCCAACGACAACTTGCCGGCAGTCCGATTGAGAGAGATGCGCCCACTGTTTGGCTTTTCTTGAGCCAGCAATCTCCAGCGGCTCAGACTTGGCTGATGAAGTCGTTCCCACCGACTCTGTTCTGGAATGGCCTCGATGCGGCCTGGCTAAGGCTTGTCTGGGATGCTCCGCCTCGTTGAGGACGCGCTCGACCGCGTCGGTGAGAGTAGTATCAAAATCCATCACTGTCTCGACCAAAAAGCGCTCTGGCCCATCGGGTGCGACTTCCGGCGACTTCCGCTGGTGCGAATTATTGTTTTCATCTGGGACGTCGTCTGCTCGGGAGTCAAAACTAGAGTTGCTGCGCATGGCGGCTGGGTGGAAGCTTCTAACCCTCCGCCTCAAAGTCAAACGCTGGATGGTGAACGTCCGGAGATCAGCAACAAGGGTGGTGCAAACATTGACCCATAACTCTCCACCCGCCTCCTCTTCGGGGAAAGGCCTATAGAGATTGTCGACAGGTGTAACTTCCTGTGACATGCTCTGCCTTATTTCGTCCTGTAACTCAGGGTACGGTTTGACCCCTTGAAGGATAAAATCCTGATGATATCGCTTTAGATAGCCTGCGACATTGATGGCACTTGACGACCCTGTGCTGCGAAATCGGTTGGACCTGGAGCTGTATGATGAGGTAGCTTCATCCGTGTTGGGGAATATCGGTGAATGGTGGCGCAAAGAAGAGGGCAAAGAAGTAGCCTTGCTTTCATCCCAACCTATAAACCCCGGAAGGTTGATGTCAACATCAACAACTCCATCTTTGTCATCGACCCTGAGTCGAGGTGGTTGGGCATCAGAAGGAGCAGACTGTTTCCGGGTTGCCACGGACGCGTCGTCATCTCTGACCTGCGGTGTGGTGGGTTGGAGGTCGGCGGCTTCGTCAACCATTCGCTCCAGAGTGCTAGGGCGTATTGCTGGCATTGGAGACATCCTGGGGGCAACTCTGCGCCGATCTCGCAAACTCTTTGTCGTGGCTTCATTCGATGAGGAAGACACATCCTGCTTCTTGCCCCAGAGCCCGCTCACGTTGCTAATCAAAGAGCCCCAGCTGATGCTCGACGGGGCGGTTTGAGCATTGCTAATGCTTTCTCTCCGAAGTATTCGAGCCAGATCCGCGCTCGCAGAACTTGCATCACCGTCTGCGACCGCTCCTTCGGGGAAATAGCTGTCGCCCTTGGTTGAGAAGTGTGGAACAGGCGTGCCCGTCCTGGGGGTAACGGTGGAACTCGTCGGATTTGTTTTGTGGAGCTGACTCGGTCGATCAGAAGTTGGTGAGAACACGGATGGGTGTCTACTAGAGCTAGGCTCAAAATCTGGCCGCGATAAACCAGATTGTGAACTCCTTTTAACGCGCCGTCCGATGCCACCAGTGCTGTCAGTCGATGAAGCACTCGTGGAGAGCCCGGCAACATCACGACGCGAGAAACTCATGGAACCGTCACGGGAACCGGAATAGGCGTGACGGCGCATCATTCCTTCACTGGCCAGCCTACCAGCAGATGAAGGGCTGCTGATATCAGGCGTTGACAACGGAGAGATGATTCCACTTCCGAGCCTTGCCAGAGGGTCCACATTGTAAGAGCGGGGCAGAAACGAGGCAAGCAGGAAAATGAGCCGTCGTGCCATCGAGCGATTATCACAGATGATGACAGTTCGACACGCAAGATTGCTAGGCCTGGCCCGCCTTTGATTCAAGGCCTGGAATTGTTTCCGATACCAGTCGGGCCCGATGCGCTCAAGCCATTCCGTATGGTTACCCAAGAAAGCGGTCATCAGGTTGAATAAAAAGAAGTTGTGCTGCTTGTTCCCACAGGCACGGACGAGATATCTCGCTTCATCAAGCCAAGGCCCGCCGGGGTCGAGGCCGAAGCCAGTCACCACACGAGGAACACGGAGTGCGTATGAGACCCTCCACAAGGCGTGTTTGACCACGCGGTGGAGCGCAGAGTTTCGGGCCAGTGCATTCGGCGAGCGCAGGTAGACGTTGCGCTGATTTGTACGTTGTTCTGACGGTCCTTTAGGCGCCTTTGCCGCAGAGGAAATCATGGCCAAGTTGACCTGTTGTAGAAGGTCACATATTTCAGCACGAGCGCCTTCTTCAACAACAGCTAAGCTCCTCAATATGACATCCCACTTTTTCACAATAATCTCTATCCCTTGATCAGTTACCTGAGCGGAAGTCTCCGGCGATAACAGATGATCAGGAATGGTATTCAGGATCGTCCATGAGGACAAAGAGTCTGAGCCATACGAGTTTGGGATGGATGATGCCATCGTCGAAGCTCTTGATGACGGGCGAGCGCCGGAGGTTCCTGGCCGCACATCACCAGATCGGGGCAGATAGCACAGAAGAGCAGCGGCATAGACTGGCGTTTTCTTTTCCACCAGCTTTGGCTTCTTGGACTGTAAACTGGGCGAGTCTTGTTGTTCCCTTACTGGGGACACTGGACTGGCTGGGTCAACCGTTCCCGCCGATGACCCACGATGTTGCCTCAAATCTTCTTGGCTGTCGGGTAGACTGACCGGAAACATGCGAGTGATTAATATCGCATCCCGAGACTCCATGTCAGTTTCTCTGGGAGATGCAGCGTGACGGTGTGTATTTGTCGCCTGTGTAGCAGTCTTAGCTCTTAGAAGTGGTGTACGCGTGGCTGCTGGACTGGTGGCAATGATGGAGGCTCGGGGGCCAAGGTCTGTGGGAACGCTTCGATCACCCGGTAGAAGATGCATTTTGGTGCTCGACCCCGATTTAGTCGCGCTGCTGACCCCAAACATACAGTCGAGAATATTGCTGATATGATCTGTAGTCTCTGATTCTTTGAACGAGCGCGCCCATGAGGCGGAAGCCCCGGAGATGGTGGAACTCCTGTGTCTTGCATGGCCATAAATAGGAACGCCAGGTATTGTTCGACCTCCGGTCTCGCTTGAGTACGGGGAGCCACTGGACTTCTGGGAGCCCGACTCCGAAGAAGATGTGCCGGGCTCTAAGCACTGGGTGTCTAGAAGAACCATTGGCCGATCATTTGTGCCGAACGCATCTTGAGCGATGATCAACCTTAGATCCCTGGACTCGTTCAGCTCCAGACCAGAGCGATCGTCGAAGGGGGCGACTCGGTAGCTAGGAGAGCCAAACGGAGTGGTCGGCGGCGAGAAGGAATGGGATCGCGCATCGGAAGCAAGCTCTGGCCAGAGAAGGGCGCGGGTATGCGACTCGTCGGTAGTACTTTCGAGCTGACTACCTCGAGCATAGCCCTGTATCAATCTTCCCAGCATTTCAGCAGGATATGCTCGACGGCCAATGAGCTGAAGTTGAAGCTAGAGAGGGTCACCTCAGAGGAGGTTAGAACGCATGGATGGAATGAGCCCGCCAATGGCACATGGAGAGGGAGGGATCGCGAGGATCGAGGGTCAGGATCGAGGATGCGAAAGCGTGATTCGGACGGCGCTGCCGTGCTACTCGAGACAGCCCATACATGGCCTGAGGACCAGACTCAGTAGGTGGGAGGTGGGAGAGGGTGGAAGTCCAAGATGCATGGATGGCATGGGCATCCAAGGACCCGGGAGCTGGCGACATGCCAAACGTTGCTTGTGATCAGTGATCCGACCCTGCCATGAAATTACGGTGAACCAGGTACTAGGGTCGACGGGCGCTAGTCCCGATGGGGTCGACCGGCCTCGTTAACGGAAGGCCTGAGGCTAATCCAACGTCTGAGGAACTTCTCAACTCACAACTCTCGACTCTCGACTCTCGACTCTCGACCTCCGAGCATGCCTCCTCTTCATGGTCCTCCATCGGTGTTCTTTTTCTCCCTGGCGAGAGCCATACTCAGCGATCGTGGGCCACCACCCTGCAGCTAGCTCCCTCCCGACCCCCGACCTGCGTTCCATGGGCTAAGGTCTTCGGAGTTTGTGGACCTCTACTCGAACCTCCAAAGTAAATATCGAACCCTACATATTCCTCGCCAAGGATGGAGCATGAAGTACGGAATACGGACTGCGTTGATGCTGAGGAACACTCTTAGTTGCCATTAAAGGGAAGGCAATCTAGCACCTCCAGGTTGAAGCCTCCACTGTTTCCCACCAGGAAGGCAATGCTGGTACCGCTGTGTCGTCCACTGACGACGCCGCATGAATGTCCAAGAAGACCACAGGTAACTCTATTGTGCAAGCTCTTGTCAAAACAACCAATTCGGTACTCAGACGGTTAAGAAGTATCTTCCTTCTTTCCCGTTCCTTTAAAGTCCTCTACCAGTTGCTCTCCCGCAAAAACCAGGAATGTTACCAGGACCGCGACCTCCCTTTTCAATATAGATAGCTATGATGCTTGCTGCTGGGGAGTACTCCGGTGTTATTAGAAGCCGTGAGACAATGGATTTCGGGCGTCTACCTTTCTTGAGATCGCAGGGGTTGCAAATATGGTGTGGAGAACCATTTTCCCTGTCGGTCAATTCACTTTTATCTCTGTTGCAAGCATGTGATTTTTTTGAGCCTCTCAGATATGTATTGGCGCTACTTCCGCAAGGCTGTCACTGACCTGATAAACAGACGCGATCTTGACGACTTGTTATCCCCCTTTCTATACTTGCTCAAATTTACTACTTACTTCACACACACACACACACACACACACACACACACGCACTCTCTCTCTCTCTCTCTCTCTCTCTCTCTCCCTCTCTCTCCCTATTCGTCCTACATCCGTTACTGTCACCTCTCTCTTCAGTTACCTCTTGACAAGGTTTGTTTATTAATCTTCGTCTTGGCACTCTTCTCTCGCATATAAGTCTCTCTCTCCCCGCCAACCACGTCGTCCGTCGTTTCTTCACATTTCACGCATTACCTTTCCTCCCCCGTGTTGGCCTTATCCAGTCTTTCCTACTGAATCTTTCAACTCGATTGCGTAACCCAGGGTCAGGGATACGGCGTCGTTTCCTTCGGAGTTATTCACAATCGCCTCTTGTTGCTATCCTTTCGCGATTTTTGCATACAGCGACTCTTGGAACAGGAGTTTCTTCTTTATCAACTACTCTAGTTCAAACACCATCATGGCACAGATAGACATTCCTGGATTCACCGCCGACTCTGTGTTGATCGACCTCACAGGAGACGAGTCGGAGACTTCCACTGACTTGGAAGTCCATGAGCTACCGCCAATGGAACCTTATATCAAGCAGGAGCCCACCAACGAACCGACCTTGATTGCTCACACCTCCACGAGAGATGACCTTCAGCCTAAGATAACTTCTGACAGCACGGATGAGATCACAAAGATCTCTTCTGACACTGAGGATGAGCAGCCAACCCTCACTTCGAAAAAGGACCCTGATTCGTTCACCATCAGCCGCGTCGATATCACAGATCAGCCTGACCCTGTTGCAACCCCCCAGCAGCAGGAAGAGGGCGCTTTGTTCGACACTGATCCTTTCGTCCAGGATGACATGGACATGGCCATGGACATTGCCAATCTGGAGGCTCTGCGGCTCTACAACGAAAACAAAACCAACCTCCCTGTCCAACATGAAGATACATCTGCCAGTGCATACCAGGAAAGACCATGCCCTGAAAGCGGCGATGATCTCGACATGCAGCTTTGGGATGCCGGTGAGGACGCCGACCCCTCTTTCGAGCATGAGGAGGCTCTCGCCGCTTTCGCTCGTCGCAAGGAGGAATACGAGAGGAAGGTGTCGCTGGGTATCACAACTGAAGTGGATGACATTCAGTTCGCAGCCGACAAAGCTGCCGAGCAGAATCGCCTTCGAGATTTTGAGCGGAGCCAGATGGTCGTAGCTGACCCGCCCGAGCTCCCGCCCGGCTATGTTGAGGAAGAGTCTCTCTTTATCCCGGAGCAATCTCGGCCTCCAGATGTTTCGTTTCGCAAGAGAGCTGCTCCAAAGCCCAAGAATCGAATCAACAAGCAAGAAATGTTGGAGGCCATGGCTGCTGGCATTGACAACGGGTTCACGAAGGGTGGAAAGCCCAAGAGAAAAGCCACAGAAGCAAGCGATGACCACCAACCGAAGAGAGGGCGGACATCGAAGGCTGCTGGCGGAGTGAAGCCAGCGCGGCGGCAGCCCAGAAAGCGCAAAGCACCCATGCTGAGCAACGTGTCTTCTTTGGGCAGAACCAATATTGTCCAAGCCGCACAAGCCAATGCTTTAAGGCCGGATATGCCTACATTCACAGCTCGCGACAAGAGTAAAGCCCTCAGAGAGCTAATCGCTAGCATCCCACTGGCAGACGGCGGTTCCCACAATTCAGACAAGAAGGCAATACTGGATGCCACGAAGAAGTTCAGGGGCAAGGGCGCTATAAGATCGGACGGCCAAGGTGCGTGGAGGCACAAAGATATGGAGTCATCGTTGTATAATCATCAGCTTCTCGGCGTGGCTTTCCTCCGGGACCGCGAAAACTCGGACTCAAAGCCCCGAGGTGGGCTTGTATGTGACGAAATGGGCTTCGGGAAGACGATACAAATGATGTGAGCTTTCCTCGCATGAGAGCGGTCGTGAATGAGCTGACCTGAACAGTGCCAACATCTTGGACGGTAAACCGGACGAGAACAGCCCGTGCAAGACAACGCTGATCGTCGCCCCTCCCACGCTACTCACCCAATGGATGTTCGAGATGGACAAACACGTCAAAGGCGGCAAACTCGGCCGTATCCTTCGATACCACTCCGGCGCGCGCCTTGTTAGCAATGACATACAAGCTGATCTATGTGCATACGACATCATTCTTACGACTTACGGGGAAGTTCAGAAGAGCTACCCAGTACCCGATCCACCGAAACACTTGTCCAGCGAAGCCAAGAAAAATGAATGGTGGGCAAAGTTCTTCAAGGAGAACGTCGGGCCTCTCCATCAGATCAAGTATCACCGCGTTGTACTGGACGAGGCACATCTGATCAAGAATCACACTTCTAAGACTTCTATCGCAGTGTGTGCGCTCACCGGAGTATACAAGTGGTGTATCACGGGGACTCCGATCATGAACTATATCGAAGAACTCTATCCATATTTCAGATTCCTGAGGGTGCCACATACTGGTGACTACGGCACATTCTGTCATAATTTTTGCAACAGCCGCATGAGCCGAGAGCCGATCAACATGGAGAGAATACATAACATTCTACGGGCGATCATGTTGAGGAGAACGCACGTCGACACCATGTTCAATGCCCCAGTGGTCAAGCTCCCGGGCATCACCCATACGACCCACCTGGTTGAGTTTAACGAGGTTGAGAGAGCCATCTACAACATGGTCAAGACAAGATATATCTTCCAGATCAACTCATACTCCAGGTCCGGAGGCCTAACGGCAAACTACCGAAACATTCTTTCCATGATGCTACGGCTCAGAATGCTATGCTCGCACATCTTACTCTGCCAGGACGTGCTCAAGCAAATGTTCGTGGCTGCTGACATTGAAAGCCTGTGGCGCTTGACCGCCAAAGAAGTTCGAGCTGCCGGGGATGAAAACCAGAAGAACCTGATTGGCACCCTGAGGAACATGCTCCAGGTCAAGGCAAACACCGTCCCGACTTGCCAGACTCGGGACGCTGAAGTGGATGCCACCGCCGTTGACCTCACCGCTCCCTCTGTGACTACGGCGACTCAAGAAGTGGCAACTCAAGAAGTCGAAGCTGCCGGCGCCACAGGTCGGAGCTTTGGACTTTCCTTCAAGTTCCGCAAATTCCTGCGTTCGCTGAGCGAGTCTAAGACCTGGTCGGAGCTGCACGACCGGTCAACCTGCGGTAAATGCCGGCTTCCGCCAGATGACCCGGTCTGCACATCCTGCTTCCACGTTTACTGCAAAGAGTGCATCAATGCAATGGAATACGAGTGCCAGGCACGTTCCGAGGAAGGATGTGCATGCCTTGAGTGCGGAGCCCTCTTCGAAGAGACATCTCCTTGCTCGGGGTTGAAAGAGTTGGGGTTCAATAGTGACGCGGTGACACAGAGGATTGAGGAAACCAAGAAGCGAGCGAGACGGTCGAGCAGCGGTGGGAAAGGTGGCAGAGGCAAGAAAAACAACCGAAGCAATAGTGTGCCAGCGGCCGGTGATGACAATGACGAGGAAGATAAAGACCCCGACTGGATCGAGTTGATGGGAACCACAGTGCTACCGTCGGCGAAGTTGACGGCGACCAAGGCAGCGATTCTGAATTGGCAGCAAACCGCCAAGGGCGAGAAGATTATCATCTACACGCAATTCCTGGGCTTGTGTCGGATCCTCGGGAAGGTCTGTTCCGCCGAGGGATGGGGCCACGTCGAGTTTAACGGCAAAATGTCGTTTGAAGCGCGCGAGAAGTCGATTGAGCGGTTCAGAGACGACCCGGCCGTGTTTATCATGATATGCAGTCTCAAGGCTGGCGGTGTCGGGCTCAACCTCAGCATGGCGTCCAAAGTCATCATCTTGGATCTGTGGTTCAACTCGTCCATTGAAGCCCAGGCCTACTGCCGCGCCTTCCGCATCGGGCAACAACGCAAGGTTGAGGTCTTACGTTTCGTGGTCAAGGACACCATCGACGAAGACTTGATCAAGATGCAGGATCGCAAAGACGTCGAGGTCACGGGTGCTATCGGGCCAGAGAGCCACGGCAAGCGCGCCACCATTCAGCAGCTGCTGGAGCTTTTTGGCGAGGTCAGGGAAGAAAGCCAGAACGAATTCATCTTGATCGAGGACGACGATCAGAATGACAACGATGACGCGAATCTCCCGCTTGCTGAGAGGCTTCCTCCACGTCCTTTCTAGGGCCCCGTCCTTTCTAGGAGTGTGGAGAGGCATGTATGAGTGTTACTGCCCCCCTTCCACCGTCGCACTGGCCATTCGGTGCTCTCGGCTGTGTTGGGCTTGCGGTGGATAGGCAAATAAATGGCGAATGCAGCATATGGATCAGGTCGTTTCTCATTTCCCACACGGCATAACACAAAACAGCCCCATTTGGCTCATGGAATCAGGTGCATGGTCTGCATCAACGATGGCTTGAAGTAGGTGGTCTGCGTCAACGATAGCTGGAAGTGACGCATCAACAACTAACTGAACTGGATGGAGGACAAGATTCACGGCAGATTATGTACATTACATCATGGCAGTCAGACATGACCCTACCTATCTTCCTAGGGACGGTACCCTCAACCTTGGATATGTAGCTTGACCTCAGATACGGCTTCCAGTTTTGGCCCAGGTTGGCTTGAGCTTTGGCTTGAGCTTGGTTTGAGCTTTGTCTGTTGGCCCAGTTTTGGCTTGGGCTTTGGGTTGAGCTTTCTTTTGGCCAAGATACAAAGACAGAGACAGACAAGAAGGATCAAAGAGACAAGACACAGCAAATGAAATGCACGTTGTATTCTCTCTTGCGTCTGAATTGCTCTCAATGGCCGTGGGGTTCATTCGTCACTGCATGTCATGCATGTCTGTCATTCAATCCATTCCATTCTTCAAAATCCATTCCTTTCCTTTCGCTTTCGCTTTTGAACCGAGCTGCTTTCGAACTCCATTCCTCTGGCTTTTGAACCGACCTGCCTCCCGTCAGACGCCGTGTCAATACCAATCAATACCAATACCAGCACCAACACCAATCAATACCAATCACAATTCAATGTCCATCTCCATCTCAATTTTGGGGGGTATCATGGAGCTCCACCGACCAGGAAACCGTATACACGAACAGAGGGAAACCCCACAAGGAAAAAGACACGTACAGAGGAAAACAGGAAAACCCTCCCAAGGAAAAGGTAAAGGTAAAGGCAAACAAAAGCACGGGACAAAAAGGAAAAAACAAAACAAATCCCAGCCTGCGCGATAACGTGGACTTCCAACCTGGCTGACTCCATCGAGGTCAAGATCCACGGCCGCTGTGCGATGGTGACCAAGTCTTCCACCTCCGCCTCTGCCTCTGCTCCTCGATTCGACCTCGGAACTCATCAAGCACACCCATCACTCTGACTCGGAATCCGCCCGTCAAGTAAGATAACTGTGCCGTCAATTCGCTGCCCATCAGATTCTATCCCACCTACCCATGCCCAGCGCCAAGCTGTGTCAAGTTCAGTGCAGGGCTGTGGTCTGTGAATTCATGCTTGTTGCACCGATGACTGATACTGATACTGACACTAACACCAATTCATCAGGGCCCTAGTGCTTTGATCGCTGCCTTCCTCCTCTCCAGGACCTCGCTTCTCTTCACCCGGGTTCTCAGTGCCTCGCTGGCCTGCACCAACGCATCGATGCTGATTGCGTGGTTCGTCATGTTGTGGTTGATGTACGTGTACACCTGGGCGGCCGAGTCGAGCGCCAGAATGGCAGCTTCATTGAGCTTGAGCAAAGCCAACGCTAGTTGGAAGAGGAACGGCGAGCTGGTGCCGTCATGCTCTCCGTCTTCGCCTTGCCCACTGGGGATCGTGGGTGTCACCGGTGTAGATGGCGCACTCAAATTGAGCGAGGACATATCGACAGTCAAATTCCTAGCCTCTCTGAATGCATACGGGATCGCATCGGAGCTGTTGAGACAGAGACTACAGCAGGCGGTATTAGCTTGAGTAAGAACAACGCCGTAATGATAATTGTCACCATCGGAAGCGGCACTCACATTACATCCCAGACACGGTAGAGGGCTTCTCCACCGGTCAAGACACCAGTGTACAAAGACAAAAACCAGTGGAAGGTGCATGCCTCAAGCTCAACCCCAAGCTCTTCCAACTTCGCGCTCAGCTTTGGTAGGACCTCTGCGACGTATTGACGAAGAACGACCTGATCGGCCCGTGCCACGAGTAGGGTTGAACTAAAGTACTGGCTGGGAAGGATGACATCGATGATGGCAACCAGCAGCCAGAAACAGTCTTCTGCTGTCGCACAGATGAGTAGGAGAGATGCTGTGATGAGGTTCATTCCTGGTTAACTATGGTGTCAGTCTCCACGGCTGCTTTCCCCCGACTCTGAATCAGTTGGATCGAAACATACCTTGGCAATATCCGATGCGAGGATTATGGAGCGAATACGCCCTCAGTAGCTCTTCCAGTCGCTGCACGCCAGGCCCGTGGCGAAAGAAGACGTTATCCGTCAATGTTCGACGGACGTCCGCCTTGATCTGACCGGCTATGTCAGGATCGATGTCGGCTCCTTCTTGCGACCGAGCAACTAGCTCTTCGTAGTATCCCGGATTCCGTAGCGAACTTGCTCCCGAGCATTCGGCCCAGATCTTGGGCCGAAGAGAAACTGGTATGCCGCCGAGAACTAATGCCTTGAAGTGCAAGTACTTGTTCTTCGTCTGCTTAGACCGCCCAAGAGTCGCAATCCCGATTAGCTCCCCATTGAGCAAATCTGCTTCCGGGGTATTGTTGGACGCCCGATCCAGGTTGTTCGCCCTCTCGGCTCGCACACGCCGCAGGAAGTCATTCCATCTGGCAGACCTCTCCGTTTGAAGGGCGTCGTGCAGGTCTGTTAGCTGCTCCAGAAGCAGTTTCGTGGGGCCAGAATCGCCCGAAGCGTCCGTCTCCGAGTCGGCTGCGAAGTCTGATGAAATCGCCGTCACAGCAGTATGTTGCGGTTCTGTCACAACACTGGTACTCGGAAGAGCCTTTTGAGCTGCAGCAGAGACTGAAATAGACGTTTCCCGCGAACGGTGCGGTGGCGTCGTCATGCCCGCCGCGTCCACCGTGGTGACCGTGACAACCGCTCCAGCAGAGGGGGTGTGGGATAGGAGCTCTCTGGGCCTGCCCGAAGGCAGACCCGCGGTGACTTTCAGATAGTCCTGCCATGACTTTTTGACGGTTTCGTCATCCAGTGAAGCTGGCGTTGCCGGTCTGTCTGCCAAAACATCTTCAGACTCGGTGCCCTCTGCAGCCCGGAAGCTAGCTATGGTCTCTGCACCACTGATTTTGTTTCGTTTGTGTTGCCGCACCTGTAGAGTTTGACGCTTTCGACGTTTCTGATCATAAATGAAGCCGAATCTGTCTGTCAGGAGTCCATAATTGTCACTATTCTGACTAGTCATGGTTGGTGGCAGTTGTGAACTCTCAATCATTGAGTCTAGCTCGACGGTTGGAGGCAAACTGCTTGCATTTGATTCTTTTCGTGTGTGACTAGGAGTCGCAGCAAGTCGACTCGGCGTCGGCGTGCGTTTCGCGGGAGGCCAGTTTGGCGCGTTGCCACTGGGAGGTAGAGACAGTGAGGATTTGGTAGCAGGGTGGGATGGGTTGGTACGTGTTTTCGATAGATTTGCAGGTGTAGCTTCAGCCTCGCTCGCCCCTCCCGGGTTACTGCCTTCTTGTCCCAGGGACGACGCTCTAGATCGACCATTCTGAGACTTGCCACTGAAGATCTGCGTCCAGGAAGCGAAAGACCGGCCTGACTGATTCGACCTGACGCTGGCTTCGTCGCCTACTTTGGGCTTTCTCAAGGATCTACCGCCAATGAAATAGCTGGACCCTGACGACGGACCAGGTGGCTGGAAGATACTTTGCAACCCAGACACCTTGCTGGAGTTGGAGCTGGCCACCCTTGGTCGCAATGTTGCATCCATATCCTGGCTGCCTTCGCTGATAATGCTGTTAGCCCTGCTGGTATTCTGGCTCGCCTTCGCGTGTGTAGATATCATCGAACCACTCCTGCTGCGACCGTCGTGGAGCTCAGCATGGAAAGCGGCCTTGGGACTCTGAGGTGCATGGCTGGAGTCACCATAGTAGGTACTCTCAACTGGACTTCTGACCACGATACCATCCGCCATTGCTTCGCTCATCATGTCATCCAAGGAAGCTGCAGATGCTAACTGGTCTGCCGAGCCAGATAACTCCTGATGGCTAGAGCTGGCTATCCCTTGTTCCAGTCGGAGGAGTCTTCTTTCCACTTCTGCTGTAGAGACGTTAGCCTCCCGCAATAGCCTCTTCAGTTCCCTTTCTCTCTGGTCTGCATGAATTCTGAGAGCCGAGATCTCGGCATCACGCTGAGCAAGATCCGACGCATACTGTCGCACCAACTTTACTGCCCCGGTCCTGCTAATGAGCCTCTCAATATGGTCGTCGCTCGCGAGGTGTAGAGAGCCCGGAATATCCAGAGACGACCGCGGGGAGTCATCAAACAAGGCGTTCTGTTTGTTCAAAGACGGGGATGCGCTAGTTAGACCTGCAAGAGTTGCCTTTCTCTCCCTCACTTTCTGTGATATTGTCCGTGCAGGTCTTGGTCCCAGCTCTTGAATAATATTGGACGACCTTGTCTCTGGCTCTGGCGAGAAGGATGGGAAGGAGGTCAAGGCAGGATCGTCTTCTTCGATGGATCTGGAGGAATTCTTAGAGCCATGGCGCTTCGGCATGCCTCTGAGGGTTCTAGCCTTCTTGAATTCGGCCGAAGCATGGGAGGTCTGGGAGGAAGATCGCCGGGACGCATTGCTGCCGTTGTCGGACATTTTCTGGGCCAGGTTGGCTGGTTTACCCACGTCTGGCTGCTGGTTGTGTCAAGACCACCGCCCGCATCTTCACACCAGCCAATCCTTGATGGTCAGGTGGAAGAGGATCTATCAAATCCACGATCATCCAGGGAAGTTTGTGACCATTTGTGTCCTGTCCAGACCAACGCCTTGGTTTGCAGCAAACTGGCTCGTGGATGAGGAATAAGACCTGTCTGGTCTAGGCGTGTGTTTGGGTCTTTGTGTCCAAGTGGCGGAGGATGGCGGAGGCCAACAGTGCTGATCTGACTATGTCTAGCTTTCATGCGCACCAGGTTCTGAGTTGGGCATCTCTGGCAGGATAGTGCTCGTGTGATATGACGACAAGTCATCCTAGTACTAGTCCTCCGGGCCGGCGTACCTGCAAGGGGATTGACAGGGGCATTGGTATCAGCGCAGTTTGTTGTTGGTGGGCTTAGGCTAAGGCTGCTTGGGCCGACCGGATACGTTGCTTGTGCAATGGTGGAGTGGCTGAAAGGGCGGAGTATATGTGGCAGCAGGACGCAAAAAGGACAGTCACCTGACCTACCCTCGAGGGCCAATGACACGATGGGACATGGTTGGCCTCCCTGGCAGCCTGTTCTTTGTTTGTCCTTTCATTTTTAGATACCTACTTACCTAGGTACCTACGGTTGGTCATCTGATAACCTTTATATTGTCTTCTGAGCCTTCAGACAGGGATAATCGCTTGACAGATTCTGTCTGTTTCAGCTTGCACGCTCAGGGCGCGCCCGCGCTCCTCACGCTTCCCAGGGTCATGGCGACAGATAGCCATGGGCGCTAGATTGCTTTCATATCCTCATCTCCAAACATGACCTGGCACCCCAGTCCCGCCACCCAATCCCAATCTCCTGATCTACCGCTGCCCAGTCGACAGCCACCACGAATCGCCGAAGATGGGGCAAGGCTATTCTATGACCACTCTCTCTGCGGCATCGGCCAGCATCGATGTCCCTGAGCTTGCTGACCTTGTCCATGAGAAGACCTTGGCCTCCGCCCGATTCATGAAAAGCGTCAGGGCCAGGAGTCAACATGGTTTCGTGTTCGTCAAGGCTGTCATGAAACCATACTCGTCGTTTTCGGTCCACAAGTATGTGAAACAGATCACGGAGGAGAGGAACATCCTCGCCAATGTTCCAAACGCCCTGGGTTACCAGAGGATTGTCGAGGTTGGCAGTGGGGGCTTTCTTGTCCGTCAATACGTGTTCAGCTCAGTATACGACCGAATGAGCACCAGGCCCTTCCTCGAGGACATCGAAAAGAAGTGGCTGTCTTTCCAGTTGCTATGTGCAGTCCGCGATTGCCATGCTCAAAATGTGTACCATGGAGACATCAAGACTGAAAACCTGTTGGTCACCTCTTGGAACTGGCTATACCTCACCGACTTCTCCTCCTCGTTCAAACCAACTTATCTTCCAGAAGACAACCCTGCTGACTTCTCCTTCTACTTTGATACCTCGAGCCGGCGGACTTGCTACATTGCCCCGGAAAGGTTTACCACCGCGAACTCGGGTGATCAGCAGGGCGGCATGAACTGGGCAATGGACATATTTAGTGTCGGTTGCACTATCGCCGAGATCTTCCTCGAGGGGCCCATCTTCAACCTCAGCCAGATATTCAAGTACCGAGCCCGAGAGTACAGCCCTGAGCATACGCATCTCAACAAAATCGAAGACCCTGAGGTCCGCGCAATGATTCTCAACATGATAGAGCTGGATCCAGAAAAGCGCTACAATGCTGAGCAGCTCCTCTCCTTTTACCGATCCAAAATCTTTCCGGAATACTTTTACAGCTTCTTGCATCAATACATGCTGGACCTGACCCGGTCCGCGACGGCCGCAAAGCCAGTTGATCTGGATGCGGCAAGCCTTAGTGAATGCGATGAAAAGATTGATCGTGTCTACTATGACTTTGACAAGATATCCTTCTTCCTCGGCTATGGTCCCAGTTCGGCTAAGCGGTCGTCAAGGTCGCCCCTAGCCCTACGGTCGAACAACAGGGCGAAGCTGCAGGACCCCGACCCTTCTTTATATGATGGAAGTCTACTTTTTCTCACGCTGGTGGTCTCCAGCATGAGAAACTCTGCCAAAGCCGCTGCCAGACTGAGGGCATGTGATCTCCTCGTAGCCTTTGCTGAACGACTTCCAGATGAGGCGAAACTGGATCGAATTCTGCCATATGTGGTTGGTCTGCTGGCAGACAGTTCAGACGTTGTCAAGGCATCGGCCATCTATGCAATGACATCCATCTTTGAAATGGTCCAAGTCGTCTCGCCCATCAACGCATACATCTTTCCAGAATACATCTTTCCTCGGTTGAGGCAATTCGTCCTCGGGCCTTCGAATCAACCGAGCGTTGTGGTTCGCTCTGCGTATGCCTCCTGTCTGGCATCTTTGGCTCTATCATCGTCTCGAATCCTAGATATGGTCCACGCAATTCGTGCCGACGGACGGTTACCGGCTCTACGCGAAGACGATTGGGCTCCCGAATCATCCTACCATGGTCTATATGACGTCGCACGGGCCGAGCTAACACCACATTTCGAAGATTCTACTATCGCTCTTATCACCGATCCCGAACCTTCGGTGAGGAGGGCTTTATTGGGGTCAGTCTCCCGGCTATGCGTCTTCTTCGGCAGCTCGAAAGCGAGCGATGTGATTTTAACACACCTCAACACCTATCTCAACGATAAGGACTGGATTTTGAGGTGCTCCTTCTTCGAAGCTCTTGTGGGTATCGCATCCTATGTTGGGACTGCGAGCCTTGAAAAATTCATTCTACCAATCATGGTTGGCTCTTTGACAGACACGGAGAGCTTTGTGGTTGAGAAAGTATTCCGTTCATTGGCTCGAATGGCTGCTTTGGGCCTCTTACAGAAGTCCACAACTTGGGAGCTGGACGGCATCGCCGTGCGGTTCCTGGCTCATCCGAGTATTTGGGTCCGTGAAAGCGCCGTGCAATTCATCGTCTTATCTGCAAAGTACATACCCCCAGCTGATCAGTATTGCATTGTCCTTCCAATCATACAGCCCTTCTTGAAGAACCCGGTGCATGTATTGACAGAGGAACGGATTCTGGACAATTTGAAACGACCACTTCCAAGGATAGTGTTTGATTCAGCACTCAACTGGGCGGCTCGAAAGGGAAACAGTCTCTTCTGGACCGCTGCATCTCGTGACGAAGCATTGACCTTGTCCGATCCCTCAACGCCACAAAATCCCTCAGCACTCGCGAGGAGGTTGCTAACCCGAATCCCGCCATCTCAGAAGGACAAGGATGACCAGAGCTCGCTCGAGTCCTTACGGAATTTGGGCATGACGCCTGAAGATGAGACCAAATTGCTCGCCTTGAGGGAATATATACTCAAGGTTTCGAAGCACAAGTCATCGGGAGATTTGGATGAAAAACACCGCCAGCTCAACAACATTATCTCGTTGAATTCGATTGATGTGACACCCCAGACGGTTTTCTTCGACCAGCGAGAAGCACTGCGAGAAATGAAAAGTCGTCCATATAGTGCACCGCAGAAGAAGTCCCGCAAGAATGAGCGCCACAGCCTAGCGGATGCACTCCTCGACGCTTCTACCAGCATTGATGAGCCGTCGACCAGACGGAATTCACCCTCGGGCAGTGGACCAAGTACTGCTACTCCATCACTGAAGCCGATTGACATTGGGAATCGCAGAACCTCCGCCATAGCGACTGACCGTGGTCCTGCCATAAGCGTGGAGCGGGCGAGCACTTCCTCGCGACTGAGTGTTCCGAGCGCAGGTGGTTCCCCTGTCGGCGTGGACCGGCTCTCACTACGGCAGAGTAGCAGTCCTCTGCAATTGAGACACCGCAACAGCGGACTCAATTTAATGAACCGTGCCGACTCTGTCAAAGCAGATGCAGAAATCTCTACAATTTCCGAAAACGCTTTTGGAAAGGTTGACGGCCCACAGAACCGGATAGGTGCAAGGACATCTGGCCTGAACATCGCCGCAAACCTCACAGGACGTTCGAGATCAGTGTCACCTCGCATCGGTGGAGCTGAAACTCCAATATATGAGGCGAATCACTCCTACACGGGAACCGATAGCAACGTGCTTCGACTCCTTGAAACCCACTTTGTTGAAAATTTTCCTGTCGATCAAATGGATTTTGGGGGTAATCGTCCCTCGGCAGATACCAACGCGCCCATCAAAAGAGCGACAGATGTTCCACAACAACACAGTGGCCGAGCGCCGCAGCAGGTACACGGATACCGGACCGAACCGTGGAGACCGTCAGGTCAGCTTCTTGCCCAACTGTCCGAGCATACTGCTGTCATCAACCGCGTTTGTGCGGCTCCGGATCACGCTTTTTTTGTAACAGCGTCGGATGATGGAACTTGCAAGGTATGGGATACGATTCGGTTGGAGAAGAATGTCACGCTGCGGTCAAGGTATACACATCGACATGCAGAGGGAGCCAAGGTCAAGAGTCTCTGCTTCATCGACAGTAGTCATACATTCCTCAGCGGTGCAGACGACGGAAGTATCCAGGCTGTACACATTGACTACCGAAGTGTTGATGGTGGTGAAAGCTCCAGATATGGGAAACCACGTCTTGTCCGAGATTATCAGATACCTTCAAGTTCTCCTCGGGACGGACAGACCACCGGGGGTCGCGCAGATGGTACTGTCGAATCTCCGCCTGAGTACGCTGTATGGCTCTACCATTACCGAACTCAGACCTCGCAGTCGATCCTTCTTGTTGCAACTAACATGTGCCGCATCCTCGCCATTGACCTGAAAAACATGGAGATCATTCACACCATGAATAATCCCGTTCATCACGGCACTCCGACGACCTTCTGCGTCGACAAAAAGCGCCACTGGCTTCTGCTTGGAACGAGTCACGGTATTCTGGATTTGTGGGATCTGAGATTCAAACTCCGACTACGAGGGTTTGGTATACAGACAGACGCACGCATTGACCGAATCCTTCTCCACCCTAGCAAAGGCCATGGCCGATGGGTCATGGTCAGCGCGGGTGGGGAGATCAGTGTGTGGGATGTTGAAAAACTGGTCTGCAGAGAGGTCTTGAGGCCGGGCGCATCCACGGCCAGAAACGAAAAAACTGGTCCTTATGAAGCGTGGAACCCTGACGAGGAGAACAGTGAAAGCATACTGTCACGCTTTGCACGCGAGCTCTCAGTCGACGGGAATGCTGTCGAACCGCAAATTCGTCCAACCACGGACAGATTCTCGAATGGATCACCTATCAAGAAACCTTTGACAGCCCTGGACTCGGTTTCTACCACATTCACCCCCGCAATCCTCGCAATGTACATCATGAACGACTATCTACTAAACCCTTCGCAACCAGACAACCCCTACAAGCATCCTCTGCTGTTGACAGGGGGGGCCGACCGTGTGTTACGGTACTGGGACATCCAGCGACCAGAAAACAGCTTTATCGTCTCTGGCCCACAGCTTTACGGCGAGGAGGGGCAAGCGGCAAAGCCAAAGTACGAGGTAAGCCACCCGCTTGCTTTGAGCGCCGGAGCTCAAATAGCGCTGGTGCAAGAGACACTCAACGACGATGGTCTGGGTGAGAAGAAAACATCCAAGAAGGACACTCGCTCATCGAGAGATCCAATGGCAAGTCCTGCAAGGACCAACTCTCCGACACCCGCATCGGGCGCAATGGCCACCGGCAGCTCGACGCCCGCCCAAGCTGGTTTTCTCAGTCCATCAACGGGGTCGACCTCGAGAAACACTTCGGCGGCGGCGGCGGCGGCAGCATCCAAGCCACCTCGGAATACTATCATCAGTGCGGCTCAACAGCAACTCCTGCGGACGCATGCCGATGGTATAACGGACGTGATTGGCCTGCGGAAGCCGTATGGGTGTGTGGTAAGCGTTGATCGAGGCGGGAATGTCTTTGTATTCCAGTGAGAGAGGTTCGGCCATGGCTGCATCTGGGATTGGAATAGGAGTAGAATCGAGACAGCAGGCTTCCTAAGCAAGCTATGTAGACCCCGGATCTGGAGTCTGGAGATTAGAGGGTGGTTATGAGCACTTCCTCTTCCCTATCTTGTTGTTGCTTCTGTCTTGTCTAATACGATACTGAGTACCGAGTACTCCGTACTGTGCCTCTGTAGATTGCTATGTTGAGGTTTGGGTGCGTGTGGTTGACTTGTGGCTGGCTTGTGGCTGACTGTGGCTGAATGGCTGAGTGGCTGCGACTTGTGGCCTGCGGCTGCGTTACGTGTGTCACCACGGAATCGACGGCGATCAAACAGTCAGTCAATCAACTCCAAACCACTCAGACCGAAGCATTGTTGTTGACAACTCTTCTTCTCTTGGTGTATGTAAAGGCTCCCTTATTACTTTGACAGCGGTCACCCATCTATACACTTCTATTCCGCTCGCATTTACCCCTAATCTCTCGCCGTTACATTCACCCTGTCGATCGCTCAGCCCACCCGGCCATCCCTCACCTCCACGCCGCCTTTCCCCAAACTCTACTCTTTGAAGCCTTTCCACGAACACCTTCATTTTAGTGAATAAGAAAACTCTCCCGGCTGGTCTGGTACATCTGCTGTCACCTGGGATGTTTCGGTGCCAGTGACACGACCGACCAGCTGGCTTTTTATTGCGCAGCCGGAACACACGTTCTTTAGCCATGAGTCGTGACCATGGCGGGCAATCTCGAGCAAGGAACAGATGCAGGCTCTATACAACCCGTCTCATCGTTACGGTCACACTTTGAAGGTCTCAAGTTTAACCAGACGCCCTCCGATGACCGAGGAAGCCTGTCCGCCTCTCCGCAAACCCTGAAACCCGTCGATGCGCAGGTTCCGACCCCAGCACTGCGAGCGTCGCTGGATTTGCCCAGGCCGACATCGCCATGGATAGGAGGAGGAAGTACAAGCTATGGGGGGGTACATACCCCCATGAAGGGGTCAGAGTCGCCTCCCAGGCCAGGCCATAAACGACCCATGTCGATGATGATCCAGTCCTCTCCCCAGCTGACTCCTTCGGTCCGAGTCGACTCTCCCAGATCACCACCACGCACATATTTCGAGCGAAGTTCTTCAAGATCACCGGAACGGGTCGACAACACTCCATTTGCCAAAGTTCGTGAACTCATCTCACAACGCTCGAGCGCTTCTTCGACTCGCCCTAATACTCCGCGGGCCGTCAGTGGCGATCGCTCCAGTACGGTAGGCGCTATGGGAAATGCAGACACGACTGTACGGGCCGTGGAACCAAAATCTCCGGCCAGGCCGCCCCCCGTCAATCGGGCAGACAAACCTAAGATCCCTACAAAACCCAGCGCCATTTCAGCGCCCAGTGGCTATGGCCTGAACCCGGAAGCCCGCAGGCCTTCATTCGAGGCTCGAGTCTCACCGTTCAGCACGCCTCCTAGTAGCGAGGAGAGTTCCCCCTCTCAAAGCCCCGAGTCGACACTTCCTATCCAGCCTGTTGAGGAATTGTTGACACCGAATAAAGTGATAGCACAACCCACACCTTTTGCGCCATGGGATCAGGGCACTCCTAGGTCGAAGGATGCTCGATCGCTGGGGTTTTCGAGCAGACCAACTGTCGCGGAGAAGAGAGATTCAAGATTATCGGGATTTCCAACACATGATCCCGCACCGCTAAATCGAGGATCGACTTTACCATCGAGGGCAAGTACAGTCTCAGAGAAGCCTGTGAGAGATCCTCGTGAATTGGGTCTATCGAGCGGGAAGCCAGCACCCCGTCATGTTTCAGAGACGATTCGATCCAATCCCTCACCTCTACTCGCACCTTCACAGCCTCTTCGCCCTCAGCCCGTCCGCGACCCTCGGCAGTTTGGATTCTCAAGCCACCAGACTCTCGACATTGACTCGACAGGCGAAGAGCCACGACCTGGCCTACCTCCTAGACGTATTCAACCTCCACCACGTCCGTCTAACGAATCCAAGAATAGCACAATAAGGCCGGTCCCGCCAACCAGTTATGCTGCGGCCCCTGATCGATCTAAGAGGCCGACCCCTATTCAGCAGTTGTCTCGCGCTCCTACAATACCCATAGACCCTCGATTTCCGCCACCTCCAAAACGAGGCAGTGTTGATGAGGATGAAATTCCGCCTGCGACTAGGGCACAGACATTTGGCACCGATTTCTCAAAGCGCCCGTCTACAAAGTCATTTGGGACCGATTCCGATGACGCAGAAGAAGTGGCAGAAGAACCTCAGACCGCGAGATCCGAATACCCAGACTCTACGCATACCAACCGGCGGCCTCCCTACTCCAAAGGTGGCGTATGGGAGATCAGCACCAAATCCGACTCCCGCACCATGGAAGTCTGTGGCCGGCACCTGTGTACAGCGGGATATACTACCCGAGTCTTCGACATGTCCTCAGGTGAACAAGTCATGAGCATTAGTCATGGCGAAACGGTCAAGGTCACAGCCGTGGTATTCAAGCCTGCCGTAGAGCTGGCCAACGAGGGCTCCAGGCTATGGCTCGGTACCAATACTGGCGATTTGATGGAAGTAGATGTGACCACGCATACTATCGTGACCACAAATTCTTCCCATAATCGCCGAGAAATCGTCCGGATACTCCGCAATCAAAGGGATTTATGGACCCTCGATGACGACGGCAAGCTCTTCGTGTGGGAGGCCGACGAGTCAGGCCTACCGAACTTGAAGTACAGCCATGGCTCTCACAAAGTCCAGAAAGGCCATTCATGTTCTATGGCTATAAATGGGCAGCTCTGGCTCGCCTCAGGGAAGGAGATCCGGATCTACAATCCAGGAAGTGACGAGTCTTTTGCCGCCCTTCCCAAGCCGCTATCGCAACAGGGGAGCCTCGATATTACCTGCGGGACCTACTCTACCGAGAAGGGAGGAAGGGCGTACTTTGGCCATATTGATGGGAGAGTCAGTATCTACTCCACCAAGGACTACTCTGCCATTGCCAACGTCAAAGCCAGCGACTACAAAATCAACTCCTTGTCTTTCGTAGGAGACAAGTTGTGGGCGGCATTCAAAACGGGCAAGGTTTATGTCTACGACACGTCAACGTCGCCGTGGAAGGTCAAGAAAGATTGGAGAGCTCATAACGGCCCAGCCACCGAGATCATATTGGATCCAAGCAGTGTCTGGACATTGCAACGGTTGCAGGTGGTCTCGATTGGCCATGACAACTACGTGAGACTCTGGGATGCCTCTCTTGAAAACGACTGGATTGAGACAGAGATGCAAGAACGAGACGTAGAATATTGTACATTCAGGGAAGTTCGAGCGGCGGTTGTCACTTGGAACGTCGGGGCATCGACGCCCTACGACCTGCGGAGCAATTTCATCGCCGACGCAATCAACGCGAACGATCCGCCCGAAATCCTCATCTTTGGGTTTCAGGAAGTGGTTGACCTGGAAGATCGGGCTGTGACAGCCAAAAGCATCCTCGGCTTTGGTAAGAAGAAGGACACGGTCAAAACGGAACAACATCAAAGTCGAGTCTACCGCGAATGGCGAGACTACCTCAGCAAGGTCATCAGCCGATATGCCAGTGACCGGTACGCCTACTCGGAACTGCAGACATCGAGCTTGATTGGACTTTTCCAATGTGTCTTCATCCGGCACGAGGAGCGACCTCGAGTGCGCAACCTTCAAGCCGCAAGTATCAAGTTGGGGTTGAAAGGTCGCTATGGCAATAAAGGAGCGCTTGTGACACGGTTCTTCCTGGACGACAGCTCGCTCTGCTTCATCAACTGCCATCTAGCAGCGGGGCAGACGCAGACTTCGCACCGCAACAACGACGTGGCAAGCATTCTCGAAGCCGAGGCTTTGGATGCCGAGCCGGACCCTGATGTGCGCAGTTCGTTGTACACCGGTGGCGGCGACGGGACGCAAATCCTCGACCACGAAATCTGCATCCTCAACGGTGATTTGAACTACCGAATCGACACCATCCCGCGCGACACCGTGATCAACATGATCAAGCGCAACGAACTGGCCAAACTGCTCGAGCGGGACCAGATGATGGTCTCGCGCCGGCGAGTCTCGGGCTTTCGCTTGGCGGCCTTTACCGAGCTGCCCATCACGTTCGCGCCGACGTACAAGTACGACGTGGGCAGCGACGAGTACGATTCCTCCGAGAAGAAACGCGCCCCGGCGTGGTGTGACCGGCTGCTGTATCGGGGGCCCGGGCGCGTTCGACAGACGGAATACCGCCGGCACGAGGGCGTGCGCACGAGCGACCACCGGCCTGTCAGCGGGGTGTTCAAGTTGAGAATCAAAACCATCGATCCGGTCAAGAGGCAGAAGGTCAAGGAAGATTGTTTTGCGAGCTTCGCCGACGTCCGGCGCCGCATGGCCGAGAAGGCCAGTGTCGAGTATCTCGTCTTGGTGTTGGGCGTGGAGGAGAAGGAGGCGAAAAGGTTACTGGCGGCGAACTAGGACCGTCTCGTCTCACCTGGGATGTTGGGATGTTGGGATGTTCGGATAATGTGAACGCTGCCCTGAATGTAATACGTGGATACAAGTGGATACAAGTCAATCGACCTGCTCTGCTCTGCTCTGCTCTCTTGTAGACGATGAATTTGTATTCCCACTATCCCATCCCATCCTAATGACCTAGCACCCCATGAGCTGTGATTTGTAGCATTCTGTTCGGAACAGGCGGGCTGGGGCTAAGGCTGGGTTTGTACACAGTACGGAGTACGGTTGGTTGTACAAAAACTATCAGGGCGATAAAGAGCTCTTTCTCTGTTGCTTTGGATTCCCCAGACTCGCACCGAGTCCAAGTCCAAGTCCAAGTCCACATTTGGCATTCTGGGCACAGATTTGGATTTGGATTTGATATTGGATATTGGATAGAACAGAGTATGAATTTCCGTCACTCTAACAATAGTGTGCTTGCCTGCTGCTTGCCTTCTGTTGCCTGCTCCTGGTCTATCCCGATCAAGAGAAGCAGAAGCAGAAGCCGCGTGCGAATGGGGTCTACAAGATTGTGATGCCCTCGTCGCTCAGCAGGGTCCGGCCTGAATTCGATCGTCTTGTTGCATCTCAGGCTTTTCCATTCAGTGTCGTCGTTGTCGTCTCGTCTCGTGTCATCATACATTCCCCCGGCACGCTCCTGGCCGAAGTCGCCGCAGCTGCCCAATATCACCCACCTCAGAGCGGCTTTAGAAGTCCCCACCGCCACCATCATCACCACCACCATAGTCACCGCCCCCGTCACCTCCGTCGCCTCCGTCCATTGCTTCACCGAGCATCATGCCACCGAGCAATCCACCTCCCAGCCCCAAAGCCGCTGCACCACCGGCACCTATACCGCCGCCAGTTCGTTTGGGGGGGTAGCCGCCACCGCCGCCGTATCCGCCATAGCCAGCAGCTGGAGGGTATCCTTGCTGTGGGTATCCGCCATAACCTTGCTGGGGATAGCCGCCATATCCTGGGCCGGGCCCATAGCCTTGCGGATAGCCCTGCCCGTAGCCAGCGGGTTGAGGTGCGTAGTTACCCTGCTGTGCCGGGTATGGCGAATGTGAAGAAGAGCTCTTGCCGAGCAGCTTGCCGAAGAAGCCCTTAGATCTGCCGCCGCTGCCGCCGCTCTCTGGACGTTGAGGCAGAGGACTGGGTGCGCCTGGGTATCCGCCCTGGATGCCCGATGCGTTGGGCGTGCCACTTGCGCCACCAGATGTGTAGAAATCATCAGCCGCACCACGGGTCCGCTTGTTCTCCTCGTCTTGCAGGCGCTGGGCCAGTTGCTCGTCCGTCTCATCGCCCTGACGTTGGCTGTTGTAAGGGTTATTTGACTCGAAGCCATGTTTGGTGTCCGAGACATTGGGAGCGTTGGAACCGGCCGAATACGACGGCGGCGCGCCACTGGGGGGTGCGTCTTCGAGATTAGAGTTGGGTCGTCGGGCGGGCTCAGTGGGTTTCTCCCATGTCGACTCCTTGGTGTAGAGGTTGACGTAGAACCTGGCAAACGGGAGCGTCAGTACCCATGGACAACGGGGGAAGGGAGTGGTGATGGATGAAGCAAGCCTAGATGCCGAAATGATTAATGATGAATATAGCTACACTTACCATTCTTTGTACTGGGTGTTGAAGACAGCCTTCCAGCCTTCTGGCACTCTAGGCGGCGGCGGGCCTGGAGGCGGCACGTAGTCGGCCATCAGTTCAGATGCAGTTGCTTCGTCAGATAAGGATGCGATCAAGGATGACAAAGGAGGAGGTAAGGAGGTATTGCGATGACAGCAACAAGAGCGCAGGCAGCCTGTCACTAGATTTGTCTGATGGTGCGGCAAAGCTACACGGAGAGGCAGATGCAACACTGGCTGTTGGAGGGGAAAAGTGGCAGGGTCAGTGGAATCTGGATGGTGGTGCCAGTGCAAGTGCAAGTGCGAGTGCGATGCCCAGGCAGCGTCATCGGCTGTTATCATGCCGTGATGCCTATTGTGGCGCAGCAGCACATCACGAGTTCAACGGGTTTCCATCTGTATCTGTATGTATGTAACTAATATCCATTATCATCATCCCGCTCTTGTTGAGTACCTACGTGGTATGGATCACTATTCGGATGGATTGAATGTGCGCTTCCCTCATCCTCAAGGCCGCCGAGTCGCAGTTAGCAATCATAATCAATACAGCGGCATCGTCCCCGCCGTCTCACTGAAGGCGCGCTCCATGATGTCCAGGCCCTGGTCGAGCTGCTCTCTGGTGATCACAATAGGCGGAGCAATTCTGAAGACCCCGGAAAAACTGGAGTGACTGCTCAGGTTCGCCCATAAGCCCAGCTCATACATCTTCGCCGCCATTCTCCGGGCCAGGTCGATATCCGCAGCCTTGGTTTCTCGATCACGCACGATTTCAACCCCTGCCATCAAGCCGCGACCTCGAACGTCGCCGATGCACCCGTACCTGCTCTTCAGCCTTTGAAGCCCAGCTTGTAGATACAAACCCATCGTACGAGAGTTCTCCACCAGGTTGTCCCTCAACACAATCTCGAGGACTTTGTCGCCCACAGAAGCCGGCAGAGGATCGTTGACGTGGGTGGTGTAAAAGCAATAGTCGCGTTCGGCGCAGATACGCTCGATCTCAGAACTCATCACCACAGCGCTCAGAGGCAGTCCGTTGCCTAGTGTCTTGCTCAAAGTCAGGATGTCTGGCACCACGCTGTCGCCCTCGTGATTAATGGCGAACAAGTCGCCGCATCGGCCCACACCAGTTTGGGCTTCGTCCACGATCAGCAGCATGCCGCGCTTTTCACAATGCTTCTTCAATGCCCGAAGGTACCCTGGCGGAAGGACGTGCATGCCTGCTGACGATTGAATACATTCCACAATGCATGCGGCCAGAGACCCGCACGAGGCTCTATCAATCATGTCCCAGCCGTAGTCCAGCTCGGTCTCCCAATCGTAAGAACCGTCTGGCTTGCGGAAGATGGAGCGATAGGAATTCGGCGGTGGAAGCATGTGCATTCCTGGCATCAATGGTCCTTGGCCTTTACGGCCAAAGTGGTATTGCGTCCCGAGAGCCTGTGCCGTCACACCGTGCCAGCTTGCGCCTAGGCCCACGATCTCGAACTTGCCAGTGTAGACTTTGGCCAGTTTGATGGCAGCCTCGTTCGACTCGCCGCCTGTTGATAGGAAGAAAGCCTTGTCAAGTCCCGGGGGTAGGACAGACGTCAGGCGCTGGGCAAGGCGGATGACCGGCGGGGACAGCATGCCTGAGAAGAGATGGTCCAGCTGCGCGGCATGGTCCTGGATGGTAGAAACGATCTCCGGGTGGCCGTGTCCTATCAGACAGGACATTTGGCCGGAAGTCCAGTCGAGCACTTTGTGGCCGTTGGCGGTGAACACATAGAGGCCTTTGCTCCCAGTCATGATGTCCTTTTCGAATTCGGTGCCATAGTTGGCCAGGCATGCCTCGGCGGCCACTTTTAGTTGTTCTTCATCCACATTGCTGTACAGAGTGGGTGTGTCAATTGACTTGGATGTGATATTGATATTGACGGTGGACGGACTGTTCTCCTCCAGCATTGGTGCCATGGCTAGTTGACTCGGTCAAGGGACGGACGATGGGATAACAGAAACACTGAAACCCAACCCCTTCGTCCTCTCCCTCCGATCAAGATAGAAGATATACATGAAGCAACCGTCGGGAAAGTCGTCCAGTTGGTGGGTTCCTCAGGAGCTCGACCCTGCGACCTAGATACCAGATAGGGAAGACTCGTCGGGGAACAAGGGCTTCCATTGGGCTAACCAAAGTGGCGGCCGCGAAACTTGTGCTCTCATTCGAGCCTGCTTCAATACTCAACCCTCTGCCAGTGGCCAGCTTGGATTGGAAATGGAGGCGATGGAGGTTGTCATGAGAGAGCAATCATGCCATAGTATCAAGGTGCTCGACGCCAAGTAGCAGCGTGGACTTGGCTTAGGAGCCAGAGGCTTAGGGGCGCCCCCAAATCAAGCCTAAGGCCTGATGCCCCTGTCAGTCTCCCTTGATGTGTACATAGAATGTAGGGAGTAATATCCGTACAGTACGCAGTACATTAGTACCTTTACGCCTTACGGAGTACCTTAGGTAGGTCCCTATACCCCGTAGGTGCTAGGTAATTTCGAGTCACGTGGAGCCATTCCGCGCCAATAGCAATCGCAGTTCCGCCGCCAACTTTGACTCTCCTTACAAAGCCGGTCAAACGTCAACATCTCCGCTAAACACCGCCACCAGTACGGAGTGTACTCAATTTAGTGTATACTCCGTACATGAACTCGGATACGACAGCCAAGGCCGAGCCATAGCCATAGCCATTCATCCCGGCTCCGGTGCCGGTGCCGGTCCTTGTCCCGGTCGTTGTCCTTGTCTTCGACATGCAAGCTCAGCCTCATGGCATGAAGACGGCTCGACCATATCGGTCACATAAATACCCCGCCTGTACTCGATGTCACAAACGGCGGTCCCGATGCACGATCGAGATCCCCGGGCAGGCATGCCTACTGTGCCGGATGCATGGGGTGGCATGCTCATCTGCGAGCGGCAAAAAGGACGACCGGGTCAGTCCCAAAGTGGGCTTCATCCATCGCTCGTTGGTCGCCGACGAGAAGTCTCTCGAAGGGGTTTCCTCGCACATTGTCGGCCCCGTCATCGCGCGCGACACTCAGATTCTCGACCAGTATCTCCCGCTTGCGGCCAACACCAACGACACCGACACCAACACCAACGTCACGGCAGGTCACGTCAACACCTACATCCACACGAACAACGGCGGCGGCGGCGGCCGTCGAGAAGCGCCCAAGCCGATCTACCATGTGCCGATCCCGCCGCGGCGGCCCAGCCCGGCCGACTGCCACTGCGCGCGGAATCTGCCTGCCGAGCTGCTCGAACAAGTCGACCCGTTCCTCGGGGTCCTGCTGGACAACTACTACGACAACATCCACCCGTGCTACCCGATCACGGACGAGGAGTATGTGCTGTCGCAAATCAAGGACCACAAGTCCACGTCCATGTCTCTGTCTCGCACGTTCGTGGTCAATCTGGTGGCGTACGCCCTCTTCTACTGGGACCCGTCGGCGGCGTTGGCCACCTTCCCCAAACCCGACCAGGACTTTGCCTGGCAGGCGGCCGTCGAGGCCAACCTGGGCGACATGCAGAAGGGCGACCTGGAGACCATCGTGTCCATCTGCACCAACGTGAGCGGGCGGCCGTCGCGCTGTCTCCTCAGCAACGTGACCAGCGTGGCGCGCGCCGTGGCATTGTCGCACGCCATCGGCCTGAACCACGATTGCAGCGAATGGAAGATCGGGGAGACGAAGAAGCGGATGCGCTGGAAGGCCTGGTGGGCGGTCGTGATCCAGGACCGCTGGTTCAACTTTGCCCAGGGCACGCCGCCGTATATTTCCAAGGGCCACTACGATGTCCCGCTGCCGACCGTCGACCTGCTCACTCGCGGGCCGACCAAATCGGTTTCAAAATCGCCGCGCCACCGACGCGCCGCCGAAGTCTACATCCATTTCTGCCGCTTGACCGAGATCGTCGGCGACGTGCTGCCGCTGATCTACCACATCCGCTCCGGCAACGACAGCCTCGCGGCCGAGCAGACGTCGCGGTCGGAGATCGAGCTGAACCGCTGGCTGGAGAGCCGCCCCGGCTGGCTGAACCTGCACGAATTCCACAACCGGCCCGCCGTGCCGGGACTGCTGAATCTACAGCTGTGCTATCTGTCCGTCCGCATGTTGCTGCGCCGCATCGCCTGGCACGAAATCGCTCAGCGCGAATCCGACCCGGCCTCGTCGTGGCTGCTCGGCTGCCAGCAGGCCGCTGAGGACATTGTGCGCTTCGTCGCCTCGCTGCACCAGCACGACCTGAATGCCTTCTGGCTGCCCTACAGCGCCCATCACTTCACCTCCGCCGTCACCCTGCTGCTGCGCTGTGCCTTGGAGACCAGCTTCCCGCATGTCCGGTCGCACTGCATGCACCTCGCCCGCACCCTGGTCGATTGTCTGAGGAGATACCACGATGAGTATCAGTGGGACCTGGCCGAGACGGCTTTGCCGCAGTGCGAGACTTTCTTGAAGCGCATTGAGGATGCTCTGCCGAGGTCGCCGAATTTCCCCTCCGCCTCGAGTGGCGCTGATCTGTTGAATCCACATCCACATCCGAATCCGAATACGAATCCGAGTCCGACCCCTGGGTATCTACATCATGATGGCCACGAGAATCTGCTGGGCAATCCACTTCCGGACGATGGCTTTGCCGCCTCGCAATGGCACGGCTCCCTCGAAGAGCTGTTCCCCGACATCTTCTCCGACTTTACAGACACCGCTTTATTGACTGGAGAAGGTCGTCTTGACGTTAATGAATAGTTACAGATATGTTCGGCCGGGAAGCTTGGTAGCATGTCGCAGTAGTCCTCATTTAAACTCCTCGATCAGTATACCTCCTTGTTTGCTGAACTTAGACTTGCACTCCTCGTACGAAGAAGAAGAATCTGGAGGCAAGATTTAAACGTGGAGAATGCATAAGCCGAACTCGACCAGCGATTACTAGTATTTATGCCTGCGAGACGACTCAAAAAGTTCGTTTCCTAGGGTGTCTTGCCCTTGCACGGCTAAACATGCTAGAATCAACGTGGCGGCATCCACAGCAAAGTCGTTTCAGTATGAGCAATCAAGTTCCCAGTCATCGCTTTCTTTCCCGAATACCCTCAGAAGGCTTGTCGGTCCCCGAGCTTTTGCTGCTGCCGGCCAAGAATCCAGCAAGATCGAAATTTTCAGCCGGGCCTCCTGTACCACCACCCTGCATTGCGCGTGTGAGGCCACCCATGGGGCTATTCTTCTGCATCTCTTCATACTCGGCTCGTGTTTCCGGATCCAAGTTCTCCATTAACTTGGGCATGCCGACTGTAAAGACCAGAGCAACTATTCCAAGCAAGATCATCGGACTCTTGAGCAAGGTCAACGGGTTGAATCCCTGGCGCTGCTCATAGAAGTCCTTTTTGGCGAGAACCTTTGCCGACAGATCCAGCTTGTCCGTCGGCGCCGTGACGAATGCCACCCCTCGATCAGTCCATCGAGTTCCTCGGTATATCTCCCAAGCTCCTGTAATCACCGTCCCGGCCGAGTCGGGAGATGGCGAAACGTCAATGCGGTAGGGCGCGAACACATAGTCGCGAGTGTAGATGTCCAGGAGGTGCGATCCGACAGTGGTGACGTCGGGGAATTCGAAGTAGTTTCCTCGCCGGAGAACCGCCTTGATCGGGGGACCATAGCCAGAGGTTAACGTGGCATGGGTCGAAGCCGGAAGAGTATTGGGGTTGGGTAGGAGACTGGAGCTGGGAATTTGGACTCGCAGCGTTGCGGCCAACACGGAGGGAACCAGCTGGCAAGCAACCGCGACTAAGGCGTACAAGAACATAGCCATCGTGTAGGTTGACTAGACGGTCTCACTCGATGATGAGGACAGGAGAAAACTGGTGGCGTAATTGAGATGTCCAAACATCGGTACATGTACTGAAGTAGTAGTAATTGAGGTAGGTGAGGTCAGACGTTCAGTGCCAAGGCCGGGACGCGCTAGGCGTTGTGACTGACATGGTAACGCGGGTCAATCTGGCGCAACACACCATGGCTACATATCGTGAAATGCAGTTGATCGGGCGGGCTCATCCTGCTGTCCAGCATCCAGATCCCTGAAGGTCCCAGGGCCTAGCTGAGTGGCGTAGTCGATGAGCTGGGCCGGAGGGCGACGAAACTCGATGGTGCCATGTCCGCCAGCTCTATAAGGACTAAAGTTCCATGCTCGACACTTGTCAGGGCACACGTACTCTATGACGGCCTCCCGCGAGGTATTGCCGATATAATAAAAGGTGTACCTAATCTATCGGAGTGACCCTGAAGTCCGGATGGTACACTTCGGGCAGGTATGTCGATTGGCGCACTTGCCCAGCCAGGGAATCGGGGCTATACTGAATGGCCATGTCAATGGAGGCCATCGTAAAGGCAATCCAGTGGATGGCCGTTTGAGGCCGGACAACCCCCGGAGCGCGACGAAACTCCATGGACCCATGTCCGCCAGGTCCACAAGGACGGAAGTTCCATGCTCGATACTTGTCGGGGCACACGTACTCTATGACGGCCTCCCGAGAGGCATCGTCGATATAATCGAAGGCATAGCCTATGCCTCGGAGCGGCCCATACATCGCTAGGGGAGCCGAGACCCTGGCGTCTTTGCCGATGTTTGTTTACAGAACCGCTGAACGGCATCCTGCCGGGAGGGCGGCGTACAGCGTGCGGTGGCAGGCTCCCAGAAGGTCACCACCTTGGCCATCGACCTAAGCTGACAGTCGCCAGAGAGATATGGACATGGAAGCCACATGACGCCTCTTGTCGAAACTCAAAATACTGGCCCAAGGTAGTCCCAGCCCAGCAGCAGAGAGCAAATCGGCAATGATTGCCAGAAGACTCAAGTTGAAATCACGTGTGACTCGTGCAGGTGCGTCAAAGTCAGGATATGTAAATGATCTTGGATGTAGGAATAATTCAAACTCGGCGCCGAACTAGAAGGGGAGGTGATCTCGCTGATTGGCCGCTGTTGTCAAGGTAGGTTGGCTCGTGTTGGAGCCGGAGGGATCTGTGATGGCATTCTCGCGACGAGGGCCTACGGGCCACCTAGATGAGGTACGAATAGGAGAGTCGGAGCGGACGCCAGGGCGACGAGATGCTCTAGGTGATTGAGAACGCGAACAATCATGTAGAGAGGGCATTGTAGAGATCGTGTAAACTTAGAGGTGGCTCAAGTTGGAAATAAGACTTGGGAGGGCTCAGGCAACTCGAGGTGGACAGTGAAAACCTAGGTAGTGACGGCGATGACCATGGATAAGAGGGAAGGGGCGGAGAAGAGACAAGATTGAGTGCTTTCTTTTGCCTAAAGGTATGTACATCGTTGGACGTCATACCTGCAGGAGACTCAGTGCTTCCAGCAAGTAAAAAGATACGCGCTTGAACAATAGGAGTACTCATCAACCAAGCTGAGGTCTTACTTTACCACAATTTCATTTTCATCATCTTGCCATATCAAGCGACTGACACTTGACGAGCACAGTCAGTCCAGTTCCTCCTCTGTTCCAGCGAACCGAAAAGTCAGACCGTCGAGTCTCCCATCAGCAGTGACAATGCTACATCTGACAACCTCATACTTGTCCGTTTCATAAAAGCACAGAGCGTCCTCGTGCTCACGAGACTCGACGAGAAACGCGCTGCCGAAAACCTTCCCGGCTCCATCGACCAAGGCTCTGTACTTGCCACCCCAAGTTCGAATGTGACCGCCTTCGACATGCGCTGGAGTGAGAACAGGCTCCACGGCCAGTTCAAGCTGCCGGGCTAGGATGCTGGGGTCTGCAAGCGTCCCATAGAAGAAATACCACACAGGGTACTGGTCATGCGCAGGTGACGGAGGCACATTTGGCGTCTCCACGCCGAGGTACGGTGTCATGGTGGTGGAGCAGAGATTCTTCTTTGCCTTGGTGGCCACTTTGACAATCATGGGTTGAAACCCGGGATGATGCTTAGCGATCCAGGCGATGAGAGAGGCCTTTGCCCCGCCATCAATCTGACAAAATCCCGCTTGGCCAGAATCGCCCGTGCCAGGGAGAAGTGTAGGGGTTTTGGCCAGACCAGCAGCGGTCTGGATACTTTCGGGGGTGTCGAGAGGGTCTGTCAGCTGTACGATGAACATGCCAGATGCTGATTCATTCTTTGCAGGACCTGGGGTTGCGAGAGGCTGGGGCTGGACGCGGTACGTGAGAGAGTATTCGTACGCCTCGCGATCATATCCTTCGGCCTCTTTCTGGGTGCGGACCGTGGCCCAAAAGTCATCTGGGACTCTTGTGCGTGAGTAGTCATTCCGATACTCTTCGAGGTGTCGAACTGCCTCCGTATGTGTGTAACCGAACAGATGCTGCCATCGCTCAGCATCGACACCGGAAACAGAGTTCTCCTCGTCAAAATCTGCAATGTTAAGGGCCATGGCCTCTAGTTCGGCGAGGAGGTCCATGACGGAAAGGGGTATCAGTACAAGGAAATTCGAGTACGACGGGGACAATACGTTCGACAATGTGTGACGGCGGATCGTGGACGAGTGTCTTGCCTGTTGTATAATGTTAACAAACTCACATGGACGAAGAATGCATAGACAGCTATATTTGCTGCAGCTCTGAGGTCCTCATTCCTATGTAGATCGGATGCCTGGCCGCCTTCCTCGGTGACTCACACAACTCTCCGTATGGATAACTATGACAAGCTTTTCATCCCATTGAAGAAGCCTATTTCTGTACCAGACTGGGAGCCGGGCAAGAACAACGGGACAGTTTCGTGGTGGCCGTGGCTCAAAGGAGCCAGCCACACACGATGGCGATTAGCTCTCAAGAAGCAAAAAGCCACTCGATGCATAGACCATGGTTCGTGCATGGTTTGTGCCTGGGTTCACAGATGTGACGGAAGAGATGGCAAGATCTGGCGAGGCGCTTTCAAGCCCGTCCAAATCAACACGTCACGCTTTGACGCGTTCCGGCGCGTTCGAGAAAAATCCCAAAAGAGTTCAGCCAGGGCCTGGCTCTGCCGCCTCGTCCCACTACCATTACTACACTGTGTGCACCGTCATACCACCAATGCTGTACCCATCAGTGATGTTGATATCACTGGTGCTGACACCATGGAAGTCTCGCTCTAGCTCCAGCATCAACTTGCCTCTGCTTGAACCACCATCCGTCCGCCGTGCGGTCAAAGCCATGTCTTTCCTCCTCCGTGCAACATTCTATAGCCCTGCAAACATGGAGTTGCACCCCCGTCGTTATCTTGCTATCTTTCTTATCTCTTCAGAGCGCCATGGACACGTGGGACTTGGTCCAAGCTGGCGACGTTTCTGGGCTATACGAAGTTGAACCATGTTTGATTGCATTCCGCTGTCAACACGCTGTCAGCAATTCCAACGGTCATCAACGGCCATCAATGTGCGACCCCTGTATCGACAGGTCATGCCGGATGTGCTATATCAGTGACTTGGCCCCTGCCTCGAGCATCAAAATGTCGATCGATCACCCTGGGTAGCGGTTCCCTCCATCGATCGCCATGAAAGCCGGCATATCATTTTCAGCAGCCTTGAGCTTGAGTTTATGGACAGGAGTAGGAGTGGTGGATGCCTTTTGGCGCATGAATTGCGGACTTGCACAGACTGGAAGAATCGATCCAATCATCAATCCGGGCGCGATCTCTGGCCATGTTCATATCCTCTCTGGAGCCAGCAGTAAGTAATTAGACCTCGGAGTCTTTGTGGTGATACTATCGTCGGGATATGAACTCACCATACACTAGACGTCAATACCACATCGGACTTCGATTCCTTGACGGCCGCAGCTTGCACCTCATGCTCGATCCAGAAAGATAAGAGCGCATATTGGACGCCACTGCTGTACTATCAGCGCGCCAACGGTTCTTTTGTTGATGTGCCCAATGATGGTACTGTCGTCTACTATTTGGGGAGAGGCGAAGACCGTCGCAACATCATCCCTTTCCCACCAGGTCTGCGCATGCTTTCTGGAAACCCTTCGAAAAGGTCCTACGACAACTCGACCATGACCTACGGGAACAGCACATACCGAGCTAGACCGGTCGCCGACCGAGTGAGCTTTGCCTGCATCAACTATGCCCAAGCGACTCCCGAAACGCCCAATATGGCCACGACAGATTGTCCCAACGGTCTTCGAGCCCAGATTCAATTTCCTAGCTGTTGGGACGGAGTCAATCTGTACAAACCCGACCAGTCACATGTGGCATACATGTCGCAAATCGACAATGGCGTATGCCCCCCCACGCACCCGAACCTCTTACCACACTTGTTCTACGAAATATACTATTTCCCAACCAGACTGGATACCTCAGATGGTGGGACGTTTGTCTTTTCGCAGGGGGACACCACCGGGTATGGCTTTCACGGCGGTATGTACCAGAAACAATTTCGATAGATCAGTTTGATCTTCGACCACTGACAACCTCGTGCAGATTTCATGAATGGATGGGATGCACAAATTCTCTCTGATGCCATAGCGCAATGCATCAACGATGTCGACTCGGGCAACATATCCGACTGTCCTCCTCTGCAAGCCTCCCAAGATGAGTACTACTCGACCAACTGCCCAGAACAGCCTGCTCTAGTCAATGAGCAGGTGAAGGGCGAACTGTCCAAGCTACCAGGTTGTAACGAAGTCACCTCGGGCCCGGACGATGTCCCTCAAGGCATCTGTGCGACTCAACCTAGCCTCAATCCTGTGGTCGATACGGACGGAGAAACCACCACGGTCCCCGTAGCCAATGTGACAAGCACCACACTCAGTTCAGGGAATACAGCACTATACCAGGGCTGCTACGTCGAGGCGACAGATTCACGAGCCTTGTCGGGCGCCTCATACACCAACAGCAGCGGAATGACTAGTGTGTCGTGCGGCACATTCTGCCAAAGCAAAGGATTCGGCGTGTTTGGCACCGAATACTCCAAAGAATGCTACTGTGGCAGTGCAATCGCTACCGCCACGACAGATCAAAGTGATTGTGGGATGGTCTGCTCCGGCAATCGGACCGAGTATTGTGGTGGTCCGAGCCGACTGAGCGTGTGGAGCATTGTCAGTGGCACAGAGTCTGGTGCCAGCTCGACCACGACCTCAACGACATCCGCCTCTCCAACATCAACCCCAACCCCATCAATCAGCGGAGCAACCTACATGGGCTGCTACTCCGACAACACTGGCGGTCGCACACTTGCATCACGCACGACCGATGCGAACATGACACTTGAGCTGTGTGCGCAGACCGCGCAGGCCGCGAATCACAAGTACTTCGGCTTGGAGTACGCTGGCGAATGCTGGGCCGGAGACACGATGGCAGCGACTGCGGCGCCGATCACCGAAGCAAAATGCAATATGAAATGCAAGGGTGACACTACTCAACTGTGCGGCGGGTCCAACGCACTCACTATGTTTCAGAACACGCTTTTCGTCCAACCGGCCAATCCGTCTGTGGTCGATGTCACGACGACTCAAGCCCAGTACACATACGTGGGGTGTTACACCGAGGGCTCTTCGGGCCGGTCGCTGGGATCGTCGGGTAGCTCGAGCTCTAGTTACTCGACGACCAACGCCAACAACATGACAGTCGAGCTGTGCGTGCAAACATGCAATGCCAAAGGATACAGCTGGGCCGGAGTCGAATACTCCAAAGAATGCTACTGCAACAACGCCGGCGTGGTCAATGGCGGTGCTGCAGCTCCGGGCGGCGATGCTGACTGCTCAATGATCTGCGTCGGGAACCTAGCCGAGTATTGCGGCGGGTCGAGCAGGATAAGTGTGTACCATCTCCAGACAACAGGAACCGTGCAGCGGAGGCATTCGCACTTCCACCATAAACGCGAACTTCGCGGTTCTGGGTCCTTTGGCTCTTGAGCGGATGGGTACAGCCGTACACAACGCCGCGATGACCCGTTGAGATGGACTGGAATTCGCCGGGATGGATTGTAAGGCGTTGTTGCGAGGGGCCGTGAAGAGGCTTTGGCGAATACGCCGGCTTCATACAAGGTCGGCTTGTCGGCCAGTGACTCTGAATGTCAAGAAGCTGCAGAGTCTGCTCCTCTTTCGTTGTGCTCCACACTGTGGTGTGAACTGCCTTGCTATCCCGGACCCGAGCAGATGCTGCACCAGGTGATTGTCGTTGAATATTAAGAAATAAAATGACGAATGCTACACACTTACTGCTCAAGAAGCAGAACGGGAGAACGGCGCTGCCTAGGTACTCACATGCGTAATCATTGCTGCCCCAGGAAGGAATTGGCCGAGACATCTGCCCTTGCATCATACTCGTATACAGTAACAATCCAGACAGAAAGTGGTGAAACCAGGTCAGGACAATATTGTGTCGCTCTCCCCTATTCATTGGTGGAGGTGCCCATTATCCTGTGCAGTTGATTTAACCTTTCGGTTGGGTCGATCTGCTCCCGATGCAGCTTCCGGGGCCCGGCCGACACCGGGCAGCAGTATTACTCCGTACTCCGTACTACATACCACCTACGTACCACCACTACAGTAGGAAGTGGTCCTTGGCCCTGACTCCTGGGTGGAAAGCAGTCTTGTTTTCCCAGCACCGGCACCAACGATTCTCCTCCGTCCCCTAGTCATACCGTCCTTATCGCTAAAAGAACACAACCTTCTATCGCCGAGGGAAAAGAGGCTGACGGGCTGAGTGATCCTCGAGATCACAGTGCGGGAACAAGCATCTTCCCAGGTCTCGTTGACGGCGGGCCTTGATACTTCCTACAGGCGAGAGATTAAGCCTGGAGTCGGCGACTTCGGCCGGTCCTGCTTTTGTGTCGGGATGGAGACTATTCTGCACATCTATCACCCGAAACGCCACCTTCTGTTACTGGAGTACGCCATCAAAAGCCCCAGCTCTAGCCCTAGCCCCAGCTCCGGCGTGGCTTTGTCGCAAACTCATTCCAATCCACCCAACGTCCTCCTTTTCGTCGGCGGACTGTATGACAACTTCCGGTCACCGTCCTATGTTGATGATCTAGCGGCCTTGTTTCTGCGGGACACACCGAACCAGAAATGGCGGGTGATGCACGTCCAGCTGTCGTCGGCAGGGAAGAGCTTCGGGCTCTATGATCTGGACCGCGATGTATGTTGACTCAATCATCAACTTCCCTCTCCCTTGTCTCGTCCCACCGTCCGCATCTTCGTGCTAAAGCCTTCCCTTCTTGACATGCAGGTCGAAGAAATCGGCACAGCAATCAACTACATCCGCGCATCTGTCACCCAGTCCCCCACATCGCCCGTCGTCCTAATGGGTCACAGCACCGGGTGCCAGGACTTGATCCACTACCTTGTCTCTCCGCTAAAGAACAGCAAGAACTCTTCCAATTCTCGCCCCGTGGTATCCGGTGCCATCTTTCAAGCCCCGGTTTCCGACCGCGAGGCAATCATGCGCGACGTGAACGACGACCAGGCCACCCGCCAGGCTTACGAATCATGTCTGTCCATTGCTGAGTCGACGCCTAAAGACAAGCACGCGATGACCATCCTGCCTTTACATATCAGCAAGCAGTGTCTAGGCCCGGCGCCGCTCAACATCACGCGGTTTTTGAGCCTCGCATCGCCTGGTTCTCCCGATAATCCGGCCATGGATGATTACTTTTCGAGCGACCTGTCTGATCGACGGCTGCTGGATACATTTGGGAGGATTGGTGGTGTTGCACATCTTCAGGCCTCTAAACATACCGGGGAAATCAGCAGCGACCTTGGCCACTCCAGTGAGGTTACGGGTAGAAGCGTCTTATTCCTCCCCTCGGGTGATGACGAGCATGTGCCCACTAGCATTGACAAAGCCCTGCTCCTGTCTCGGTGGACACGCGCCGTCGAAAGCGGAGGGGCTGCTTCGGTTTCGCCTTATTCGCAAATCGTTCGACACGCGCTGCACGATATTTCCGGATCGTCCATTGAGGCACGTACAGCTCGACTGGTCGAGATGCGCGGCTCGGTGCTGCGGTATCTAGACCATGTAGTTGGGGATATCTTCGAGGAGGGATCCGGAGTGTCAACGGAGAAGGGGGATGCAAGCGAGCACTCGGGCCAGGGCCCATGGGCGATCTACGAGAGCGACCGGCACGCAATTGAAATGGAGCGTGGTGTAAGTGGTGTTAGGCTGTGACTGAAAGGAGAGACAGGGGCCATGATCGGAGCAAAGTGATATACGTTAGGACAAATTTTGCCGGTTCCTAATGCAATACAACACCACGAAGTTGAGGAGGACCAAGTGATAGGATCTCCTAGGATTTCAGGCATCGAACGCGATGGATCTTGCAGTGCATGGCAAACATTCTTCCCATAAGAGTTGAAGGTGGGCATGCTAAAAGTAAGGCCAGACAATACCGATAACGGGGACAGTCGGTGACAGCATACTCCGTACAAGTAACTGGCCATACCCTCGTTTATGGGTTGAATGCCAACATGGTTGGATGCGTTGTCGCTCTTCCCGATATAACCCGTAACGTCCAGGGTAAACTGCCATCGGGCTCAGTACAGTAACGATAAGCATTGGGTTTCCATGGATCTTCAGGCGGCCTTGCCGTGCATCTTTCACATCTCCGATTATACCAATCTTTGGCCTCCCCTTCCTCCCGTGTCTTGCTTTGCCACGATCTACCCTTGACCGCCGAGACCGCACATGCCACGCTAGCTGTCCCGGATTCAAGAACCCGATGGCGCCGAAAGACAAGGGTCAAGACAACCGGGCGGCAGCCAAGGTGGCAGCTAGTAATGACAGTGTAGGCTTGGGCAGAGTCACCGCTCATGATGCTTCATGCGTTTGCGACGGGCCACTGCACGGTGGTTACTCGAGTCTCGAGCTTGTGTAGCAGACGAGATGGGTCTGGACAAAGACTCGTCCGACGTAAGCATGTGGCAGGGCTCCGTTTAGCATGTGAAGGGTGGTTGCCGGACCGGAGGACGCTGCTCACAACTTGGTCTTGACCAACCTCGAGCTGGTGTTTTGAGTCAGTCAGTTCATCCAAGGAGACCTCGTCTGACAGGCAAACCTGGTCTCCTGCAGGAAGACCATCTCCATTTCAGGAACGGAGAGACACCGAAGACCTGACACCGAGGCGGCACTAACATGGCAGCTTGCTGAGGAAGGCTGAAGTGCGGTCTGGAGTATGAAGGATGCACGCACCATGCATGCAACATGCAATGGGGGACAGGGACAGATCAGCCCAGCCTGTCGCCAAGGGAAGAGCTAAAGAACCAAGCATTCTGCCCGGAACTAAGCTACGTTTAGCCTAAGAAGCCCTGTCCCTTAACCAATAGTCATGGCTCCAGGCACCTGGGGCTTGCAGTGGTGAGAATCTAGACGAGGCGCCTCAGCCCCCGATCAGAAGCTTGGCGCCTGGGATTCTTTCCGCGAGGCCTGACGAAGCCTAAAAGTTTGGGTCGTCCACAGGGCAGTGCGCAATGCTGCCTGACATGTCATGTCGTTCCTTCAACTCCGGACACCACCACAGCACCTTCAAACTTGCCGTCATTTCACCGCCTTCCTCGGCCATTTCTCGATTCTCAACCCTTCGATCGTCCTTTTCCTTCCACAATCATCGCGACATCCAACCTTACCCTCCAACGACCTCCCCGAACCATGCCTGTCTCCTGCGAAGCTCTTCCTGCCGACCCGCCCAACATCCTCTTCAACGACAGCTAACCATGCCCGCATCGGACCTCCCTTCCTAGCACTCGGTCGTTCTGCGGAACCTGGGATCCCACCTCTCAAGGTCAATCTCAATCTACCTCAGCCCTTGCCCGTGTCTGCTCTGTTCCGGGTGACAAGATGCCTCCGCAGTGGCGCACGCAAGTTTGGGAATTCCTTCGGCAGCATGTGCTCCCAGAAGTCTTGGTCAAGAGGAGGTTGAACTTTATCACCATTCACTATCTATATCTGACGGGCATGTCTCTTCTTCTGTCGGTCATCATTTACGGTATTGGAGATATTTCTTACATCAACGCCCTCTTCTTCGCTTCTGGAACCTGCACTCAGAGTGGTCTCAACACGATCGACATCAACCAGCTTCACAGTGGTCAGCAGGCCATGCTCTACTTTGGGGCCATGGTCTGCAATCCCATCATTGTCAATTCGGCAGTTGTGTTCATCAGACTCTATTGGTTTGAAAAAAGATTCAAGGATGTGGTCCGGACTTCTGCTTTGATTCGACGGACTCGATCGAGACAGAAGACCGAGACGTTTGGCCGTGACGATCCGGAGCAAGGCAGCCTGGTGGGGGTTCGTGGCCGGGCCATCCAGATCTTGAGAAATACCGGCCGCAGGGCTACCGACCTGTTGGAACCCAAGGATGGGCCAGGAGCTCATGCCAATGGCAAGGCGGTGGAAACATCCAACCCATCTGAAGCCGACACCGAAAAAGCCAACGGCGGAGCAGGTCCCGATGATTATTTGCGTCTGCAGTCTAGCCGCTCGACAGACGATGTGCGTGTCCCTCCGCAACTCAGCCCCGATCAGCACATCCGCTTTCTGGAGAATCAACGTAACCCTAGTGACATGACTGCGTTGAGAATTCCAAGTCCTCGAGAGTTTGAACGGGGAAGCCGGCCCCAAAATGTGCACAAAAGCATCGACGACACGCTCATGGGAAAGGTCGCCAGCGACACAGACCTTGCCGCAGCAAACGAAAAGCGCAGCCTGGACCTTAATCCGCGATCCGAAGGCGCTCCCGCCCATATCACTATTGATGAGCCACAGCCTTTCCGCGATCGCAACGACAGGACAACGACCTTTCCCCGGCTGAATACGAGACAATCCACCCAGGCCCGGCAGACGTACGATTCGTCTGACCCCGGATCCCAGCTCCGGCCAAGGCGGTCCAACACCTTTCGTAGCCTGAGCCGTAGCAACACTGGCCGGACGCTGGATCCAGCTCCGTATCTGAGTTGGCAGCCTACCATCGGTCGGAACTCTCTGTTCGTCGGCCTGACCGAAGAACAGCGAGAAGAATTAGGCGGCATCGAATACCGGGCGCTCAAAACCCTGGCTTTGATCCTTGTTGTCTACTTTGTCGCTTTCCACCTCCTCGGCATTGTTTGTCTTGTTCCTTGGATTCTGCACACGGAACGGTACGGAAAAGTGGTGACGGCCGCGGGTCAAGGTCGAGTCTGGTGGGGTTTCTTCACCAGTGCTTCCGCCTTCAACGATCTTGGATTCACTCTCACAAGCGATTCGATGATGTCCTTTGGCACTGCGATCTTTCCCATGCTTCTGATGAGCTTTTTGATCATCATCGGCAATACTGGCTTTCCCTGCATGCTGCGGCTCATCATCTGGCTAATTTCCCATTTTGTGCCGTTTGGTGGCCCTCTGTGGGAAGAACTGCGATTTCTCCTCGACCACCCTCGTCGATGTTTCACCCTGCTCTTTCCCGGATCCGCCACCTGGTGGCTGTTCGCCATTCTTGTCGTGCTCAATGGCGTGGATCTGATTTTCTTCATCATTCTTGATCTGAACGATTCAGTCATCACCCAGATGAGCGGCGGAATCAAGTTTGTGGATGGACTGTTCCAGGCTGCCTCTACTAGAACAGCTGGTTTTTCAGTGGTCAATCTGGCCGAGTTGCATCCTGCCATCCAGGTCAGTTACCTCATCATGATGTACATTTCAGTGTTTCCGATTGCGATTTCCATGCGAAGAACCAACGTGTATGAAGAAAAAAGCCTGGGGATTTATGGAAAGGGTGCAGATGAGGAGGAGGACGAGAGAGAACCAAGCTATGTGGGTGCGCATCTGAGGCGACAACTCTCTTTTGATTTGTGGTACGTCTTTTTGGGCATGTTCATCATTGCTGTGGTGGAGGGGGGTCGATTGGAAAACACCAACCAGTACGCCTTTACCTTGTTTTCGGTGCTCTTCGAGATTGTATCGGCATATGGAACTGTGGGCCTGTCATTGGGCTATCCGACGATCAATGCATCCTTCTCCGCCGAATTTCACACACTATCCAAGTTGGTGATCATCGCCATGCAAATCCGTGGGCGGCACCGTGGTTTGCCCTACGAATTAGATCGGGCCATCCTCCTCCCTTCGGAAAGTCTGCAAGCCAAAGAGGCGAAGGAAGCGGAGCGCATGGCGATGCGCCGGCGCCGCTCTTCTGCGGGACAGTCCATCCTGTCGGCCGTGGATGGGCAGATGGAGGGATTTCATTTCCGTACCGAAACAGGACTTTCGTCGGCCACCAACCCTGGCGGCGGGAACGATCATCAGCTTCGACCTCGAGCGAACACCAACAGAACTCAACAGAGTACAGCAAGCGGGTCAGAGCATACTCCTCACCATGGTGCCCGGCATGGACTGGGTACAGCCATGTACAAACTCACGCCTGATATTGATTCCATCCGGGAAGAAGGTAGGCGGGAACATCCTTAAGGGAATAATATCATGCGGAGGACATTTAATTCTTGATATCTTGTTTTTAGCGGGCGTTGATACACTTGAGCAACGGCGAAGGAGGAGTTCATATTGCTGAGTCACGGATCAAACAGTACATGCCGTTGTAGGAGTACGGAGTACATGGGAAGCTTGTTAGAAGGATGTCTGGTCAGTGCTCTGTGAAAACGGTGGCCACCACGGAAGGGCCTTAGATTTTCGAACCCAAGTACCGAAGGAGTAACTTGATCCATTCGCTTCGATACCTACCTACAAGAAGCAATAATATGAAGACGAACTGTTACAATACCACAGAGGACAGAGTACGGATACGGGATACGGATGGGAGATTGGACTCAGGATCATGATGCTGCTGCGCCTCACGACCAAGACACCAAGACGGTGGCCGCTTGAAGCTGCTTGGCGCCGTGCAAAGTGACGTTACAGACTCCGTGCTCCATACATGTACTCGGTACATGTAACAGCAATGGTTGTAAGACAACGACACGCCACAGGCACAAGGCTGCCAAGTGGCCTGGTGTTGTTTCATGCCAGTGCACTGCAGTACGGGAGTACAGGAGTACCGATGCCAGTGCTTTAGTACCACTTAACACCACACGTGTGCTGCAAGGTGAGGGTTAAGATGTCCATGTGTAGCAGGTACAACGGCCATGTACTTACATACTGCCTACATAGTAGGTACCTAGGTGGCAAGGTCCCAATTCTATATCCGTACCTGTTGAGCGCCTATTTACCTAACCCACCTTGTAGGTAACAGGTACCAAGGGCCTAATAAGGCTAAAGGCTCCTAAGCTGCCTTCCATTATTATTGCAGAGTAGGTGCCCGTGGTGCTGAGCTCCAGGCTTAGGGGCCCAGGATTATTAGCAGGCTGGGCCTGAGGCTCCCGCCGCCCCCCGGTCCAGACTTTTGCCGTTCTGGGCGCTCCTCCACTTTGAGGCGCAAGGACCCAATCAGAGCCAACACCGTGAAACCCGCGCTGCTTGTCCCGCGTTTCTGGAGGCTGCGGTCGCCCGTCACACTCTTTGCCTGCCCCCTGCTTTGGGCTTGGGTTCGGCTTCGCTTGCGCCACTGCAAATCTGCAATCTGCAGCCTGCAGTCTGCGCTCTTTACTTCCGCTCCCTCCCTGTTTCTCGTTCATTGTTACCGTCGTCATTCCTCCTCTCCACGACCACCGACCACCACCACCACCACCCACTCTCGCTCCGCAGATTCAGACCTGCGCTTCCTCTCCTGTCTACGCTCTTTTCCCATCGTCGACCTGGATCTCCTCCTTCGTCTCCCGACACACGCAAGGCGAACGAGCCCCCGATCGCGACCCTGACCGACCCCCTACAGTCCCTCGCTTCGACCTCCCCACGCCCTTCGTTCGAGTCTCACAACACGGCTTCGTTGCTGCGCCTCGCACTTGTCCTCGGAATCTCATCTTTTCCTCGGTCGTCAGTTTCGAGACATCCTGTGGGTTATTAAGCCGCCTTTGAGCAAGCCGACCACGCGATTCGCCCCCGAATAATAAACCTGCCCGGAAGAAGAATCACCTCAATTAACCTACCTTGAAAAGACTATCACCTCGATAAACCTACCCAGAAAAGACCATCACCTCAATAAACCTATACAAAAGAATACCATCGCCTCAACATGAAGTCTCGAATAACATCCCTTCTAGCGCCGCTGGCCGGCCTAGTTTCTCTCGTCAATGGTCTCGAACTCGATCTCACCAGTCAAGACTCGGTGAAATCAGTGACCTCGACCATCGCCTATGATATGATGACTTATTATTCTGGCAACCAAAGCGGTCAAACCCCTGGACTACTACCCGGGCCGTGTGCTTCGACCGAATGTTACTACTGGTGGGAGGCCGGGGCCATGTTTGGGTCTCTGATCAACTATTGGCAATACACGGGGGATGACAGTTACAATCATGTTGTCGAACAAGCACTCGCATTCCAGATCGGTCCCGACCAAAACTACAACCCTCCCAACCAGAGCAAGAACATGGGTGTCGACGATCAAGCGTTCTGGGCCTTTTCCGCCCTCGACGCAGCCGAAGCGAATCTTCCCGAGCCTGGCGGCGATGTTCCGTCGTGGATCGCTCTCGCGCAAGCTGTTTTCAACTTTCAGGCGGGGCTTTGGGACACGGCCACTTGCGGCGGTGGCATGCGATGGCAGGTCTATTCATTCAACGCCGGGTACAATTTGAAGAACACCATTTCCAATGGAGGCAATTTCCAGTTGGCGGCTCGGTTGGCGAGATATACTGGGAATCAAACCTACGCCGACTGGGCGGAGCAAATGTGGAATTGGATGGCAGCCAGCCCGCTGTTCCAATACCAGGACGGCAATCTCTACATCTGGGATAACACTGACACTGCCAACAACTGTACGGATGTAGCTCACTTTGTCTGGACGTACAACTATGGCACCATGTTGATGGGCGCGGCCTACATGTACAACTACACGAACGGTGCCGAGCCCTGGGGAACCCGCGTCAGCCAGATCTTGGACGGAGCGTTCAAGCTCTTTTTCCCGTCAGAATACGGTGGCAACATCATGACCGAGTTCCAATGCGAGCCCGCGGCCAACTGCAACAACGATCAGAGCAGTTTCAAAGCTTATCTCTCTCGGTGGATGGCTGTGACCATGTTGTTGGTTCCAAGCACGGCAGATCAGATCATGCCGAAACTGCAAGCCAGCGCCGCTGGCGCTGCCCAACAGTGTACCGGAGGGAATAATGGACGTGCGTGTGGTCGAAGATGGTATGCCGCATACGATGGAACAAGCGGCGTGGGCCAGCAGGTAGGAGTTTCCTCGGGTTCTTTTTGTTCTACCACCAACTAACTCTCTCTTCCCAGATGCAAGCACTCAGCGTCATTGGCGCGACGCAAATCAATTCGGGAATTGCACCCAAATCCATCAATACTGGCGGCACATCCAAGAGTGATCCCAATGCTGGAACCGACACCAACACGTCACCTCTATCCCACCAATCGCCCATCACCACCAAAGATAAAGCGGGTGCTGGCATCCTTACCGTCCTGGCCATTTGTGTCGTGGTTGGAGGAAGCGTCTGGATCATCCTGTGAACTTAATGAGGGATCGGAATTGGTTTGGTTCGCAACCTCGCTAGACATGACTGCCCAACGATGTAAACGGGACATGTTGTTTCTCTAGAGGGGAGATTGGACCTACTACAGTATCTGGAAAGACATGGTGGCCATCAAAACGGGATTGATCAGCATGGAAGGCGCAAAGACTAGTTGCTTGGATCCGAACGGATGAGATCTCTACCAGTTTTGATTTTTTGATGAGTGGATGGGATGGGACGGCATGGACTTTGGATTTTTTTTCCTATTATTTTTTTCCGTTGTCAGCATTGTACAGCGCGCAGGAGCTTGAGTTGTATTGGATACAGTATCCCATGCGAGTCTCTGTACGGAGTACTTGATATCAAGGATGTACACAGAGATGACAGACTGTCAAACTATCTAGTAAATACTGCATATCAAGCTGTTAAACGTGGAGTTTTCCAGGAGCATAGCTTAGCCTTGTGTCTATCATTATTTGTCTATATATTAGACATATAATGAGGAGTTTTCGCGCACGTACATTTGATAGAGAACAAGGGATTTTTCTACCCTTGTTTGGAGACAATCGAGAGTCGAGTGAGTGTCGAGTGTCGAGTGTCAAATTGTCTATCCGTATAAAGATATTTTGGGATTTCTTTTACAACATCACGCACGCACGCACTAGGTGCTAGTACGAGTACCTAAGTAACTAAGTTACCTTGAGTAATAAATATCCTGCTCCTGGTCCTGTTGGTCATGGTCATGGATGAAATCATAAATCCGCCTCCCTGCCTGTTGATCCAGCAGATCAATCCACATACACGCCTTCAGTGTGTCCTGCATGTCTTTCCACGTCTTGATCTGACAGCGGGCGATGTATTCGCGCAACAGCACCCTCAGCCACGTTGCGTCTTTGTCTTTGTCTTTGTCTTCTTCGTGTGAGTTGGAGACGTCGAAGAGGGAAACGGCGGCAGTCATCAATAGCCAGAGCATGAGCTGAGAAGAAGGGGAAGAGGAGGGGGGAGGGGGAGGGGGGACGCTATTGCTGTTGTCGTTGATGTTGCCGTTGATGTTGCCGTTGTCGTTGCCATCGCCGACGCTATTGCTGTTGTCGTTGATGTTGCCGTTGATGTTGCCGTTGTCGTTGCCATCGCCGTTGTTATTGTCGTTGATGTTGACGTTGCCGTTGGTGTTGCTGTTGCCGTTGATGTTGGCTTTTCTGTCGCCGTTGCCATCGCCGTTGATGTTGGTTTTGCCGTTGATGTTGCCGTTGTCGTTGCCGTTGATGTTGCCGTTGATTTCGCCATCGCCGTTGCCATCGCCGTTGTTATTGTCGTTGATGTTACCATCACCGTTACCGCTGCCATCTCCAGCCTTCAACCCCATAATGCAGCTTTTATAAACGGCAGAAAAGTGCCGATATGGCAATTGGACGTCTCGCCACTGCAGAAAGACATGGTGACAAAATGCCAACAGGCCCAGCCGGACAGCCTCGTCGACCGAGCCGCTGGCGAAGCGCATGTGCAGGAGACGATACATGACAGCCGCCATGGTGTCAAGGATGATTGTCGGGTTCATGAGCCGTTGGGTCTGTGTGCCCAGGTTGACGTGTAGGCAGAACCGCCTCATGACGTGCCACGTGGTGGCTAGATGGTGGTTTGTGGTTCGGACGACGTCGCTCTCATTCTCTTTCCCGCTCTCATCCTCCTTGTCTTCCTCACTACCTTTACTACCACCACCACCTCTACCACTATCACTACCAATTCCAATCCCAATCCCAACCCCAATCCCAGTCCTTGCTAGTACAGTACGGCTATTTTGGGCATGTGGATGTGGATGTGGATATGGGTCTGGAAAACCTGGACGTGGACATGGTGATGGGTCTTGGAAACCTGGACGTGGACTTGGACCTGGTAGTGTCTTTACCTTGTCGCAAAGAGCGGTTGGCGTTGGCGTTGGTAGCAGCTTCTCCGGATACTCAATCAGCGGTTCAGAAGGCTGGCGGAAAAACACGGGTTTCCAGCCATTGAGGAGGGCGATGCTCAGATCACATCTGGAGTGCGAGAGAAATACAGTCAGCACTATAACAATATACGGTATTCCATCATGGTATTTCCGAAGAGAAATAAAAAGAAAGTAGACGAAAATGAAAGTGAAACCATGACAGTAGCCCACTGCACTTAGAATGAAACAAACAGCTGCCACGAGAGTCCCTGTCACTGTCATGAAAACAATCGCCGTACCCATGGGACATAGAAAATGAGACATACAACAGGGGCATACAACAGGGGCATACAACAGGGGCATACAACA